ATCAGAATTGTTAGAAAATACAGAATCAACTTTCACTTGGCGAAAAAATTCAATTTCGGCGAAAATAGTCTTTCACCCTTGACCCACGTGAAAATGAAAAAAATTTTTTCCCCTTTTCTGTCACCTCCGAGGGTTTCATTGGCATCAGGGGGTCAATAAATACAGAATCAACGTTCACTATTTTTTATTTAAACACCGCCTGCAAACGGGGAGATGAGGGTGGCTAAAATATATTCTGCAACCCTGTCTCCTCGTTGGCTACAAATTTCAACCCTCCGCATACATGCCTTCCCCTTCACCCGCTCGTAAAATCACGCGATCTCGGTAGCATCGAGGAGGACTTCTCAGGACCGAAAAGAACTGAGGATTCGAAAGCTCTCTGGAAAAGTACGTCGTAGAACTGATTAGGACTTACCAGGTCCATCTAGGTCTGGAGAGATCTTGAAAGACCTGTGTACGTCCAATCAGAACCAAATCCTCGATTCGGGTCTCCCGGCTGTTGGGACAATCCGCGTTATACGGGCGCCGTACGTTATGGGTTAAGGATTGACGTAAGCATCTTTTTACAAGAGTAAATTTTTTCATGGTCAAATGCCATGAAACTTTGGCAAAACGTTATTTGAACTATCATAAAATGATCGATCTATCGCTCAGCTCTTCGTCATATTGTCAATATCGATTTTGTTTGTTTTTTATGTTTTATTTGATATCGACAATATGACAAAGAGCTAAGCGATAGATCGATCATCTTATAATGGTTCAAATAACGTTTTGCCAAAGTTTCATGGCATTTGACCATAAAAAAATGTACTCTTGTGAAAAACTCCCGCCAAAATTGCTCACACGCAATTCGGATTTTCGGATTTTGAGGCACGTCAATCCTTTTAATCATGTGCTATCACTCTTCTTTACATCTAATCACGAATACAATTTTCTAGTGGGAGGCATGCCTTTTGTTCCACCACCTGGCGAAGAGGACAAATACATTCTGACAAAGGTGAGAATAATTTCTATCGACGATTCCAGACACTCCGAATATGGCTAAGGACAATAACGATTGAAGATGATTGACAGAAAGTCGTGGACAAGGTCGTCCAAATACCGGTGATTCATATGCTGTGTGGTGAAATAGATCCTGATGATAAAGAACTGCATGACGCAACTCTTTTCTATTTCTTGCGGACCAAGGACCGGGGAATCCCAGCGTTCGACACATGGCAGGCCTGTCATGAACAGATTACTGAGTACATGATTGTTGGATCCTTGCATGGGCAGTTTTTGCAGTCGATGAATAACATTCTTGTTAATGTATGTCATTCATATTGTGCCCCTCAATTAAAACAATTACTACTGGATTAAAGAGTGTAGGTCTCTGGGCGTAAATTTCAGAAGCTAATAATTACACAAAGCTTTCTTTTTTCTCTCTACCCTCATGGAAAAAAATATAAAAAATATATATAATAACGGTCAATTTAATATATTCTTCGAATATGTACAAGATTTATATAGAATATACAGGTTGTCGTCAGCACCTTGTTCACAAATTGTGAGGAAATATAGAATGGAAAATAAACTTTTCATCACGCTGTGTGTAAAGTGACATTTTACGCACGATCCGCGTGCGCAAAACCCCACTTCTCACACATTGTGTTGAAAAATAGGGTTCGATACTCGCGGGAAAAGTGTTTTTAGACTCGTGGGATTATATCACTCGCTTTCGGCTCGTGCTATAAACCTTCCACGAACCCAAAAGCACTTTCCCGCAATCGCACCGAAATATACTATTTTAGATTATGCTTCCAAGATTTTGCGAAAATAATTTGCAATAATACTTATGGCATTGATGAAAATATCTGTGAATTCTCATCAATAAAGTACCTCTCTTTTTTATTTAAAAAGGTTTTTAAACCCCTCATCGAGAGACAATACCGTGGTGCCGCTGCTGCGCAACGACTAATTAGTGGTACACACGCTAGTACAAAGAGCGACAGCATTGGGAAAGCCCAGACGACATTAACCAGCGTCATGGAGTCGCAGGTATCAACTATATTTTTTCCATTTTTGTCATCACATCTAATGTCGAAGTCATGCAATTTCTCTTCTTGCAATGACTGGTTTCTGCAACCCCATACATCCATTCATGATCTTCCATCAATCATGTGTGTTGAGTAGTGTAAAGTGCGTTGAGTAGTAATCACTCCTTGTTGCATTTGAATGATTAATTATTGACTTCGATAGGCGTCAGCTCTCACTCGGCCTTCCCACTACCAGAGGATGTCCGTCGCAATCGGAAAAATTGAAAATGCGCAAGGACTATCACCACTGGATGGAAGGGATCAGACTACCGTTCAAACGCCCTCGGATTTGGGAAAAGGCAGGTTTAATAATCTTAACTTGAGGATGTCATGGATATTACATGAATTATGAGAGAAAAAATAGTATCTTATGTCATTAGGCGATAAAAGTATTATCTGGCGAATGTGGTTTTATAATCCGAGCCGAAGGCGAGCCGAAGGCGAGCCGAGGATGTGATTATAATTACATTCGCCAGATAATACTTTTATCGCCGTATGACATACAATATTTTATGTCATTGGGCCCGAAAACCGCGATCTAATCGAGCGAAGCGACGTTAGAATCGCGGTTTATCGGGCCTAATGACATAAAAAGATTTTTCCGTACTGCTCTTTACTTTTCCTCGTCCGGGGATTGGTACTAGCCCTTCCCCAAACTCGTAGAAGTGAAAATCACTACGGAAAAATATGATTCACTAGTGCCATGGGGGTTTTCTACTCGCGTGGTTGGTCAGTCCTCGCCTTCGGCTCGGTCGCCAACTCCACGCGAGTAAAAAACCTCATGGCACTCGTCCTGAAATATACTATTTCATCGCTAGTGCGTAAAGCGGAATTTTACGCACGCTACAGAGGTGCAGTGGTTTCCGCAGTTTCAGCTGGTCTAAACAAATACGATCACACTATTCGCGAAAATGGTCTGCAACCGCAAGGGGCCCGGATAAAGAAATTTAGTAAGAAAAGCGAGCACTTTCTTGAAAAAATTATTACGAAATTCTATTGAAGGTCTATTAGGATATTATATTTTATGTCGCGCCGTGCAATAAGTCGAGTTTATCGCACGCTGCGCTTCGCACGACTTGACATAAAATATTATAGAGCACTCGGTAATAAATTTCGTTTTCAACGAATGTGTAGTTTACAGGCCGAGCCGAAGGCGAGGTCTGTAAACTACACATTCGTTGAAAACGAAATTTGTACCCTTATACTCTAATGTACTATAATATCCGATGTTTTTCCAGGCGGAACATTGACTTTCGCCAAAATCGAATTTTTTAGCCGGGTGAACGTTGATTTCAACTATTTGAGCGACGGGCTATTCAGAACTCTCAAAAGTATGTGGAAAAAGTGAAAACTGAAAAAAAATTTTTTTTCACCCCGAGCCAAACGGTCAGATTTTCGGTTTCTCCGGGGGAAAGTTGACTTTCGCCAAAAATGAATTTTTTAGCGGGGTGAACGTCGATTCCAACTATTTGAGCGACGGGCTATTCAGAACTCTCAAAAGTATGTAGAAAAAGTGAAAACTGAAAAATTTTTTTTTTTCAGATTTTCAAAGGGTCAGATTTTCGGTTTCTCCGGGGGAAAGTTGACTTTCGCCAAAATCGAATTTTTTAGCGGGGTGAACGTCGATTCCAACTATTTGAGCGACGGGCTATTCAGAACTCTCAAAAGTATGTAGAAAAAGTGAAAACTGAAAAAAAAAATTTTTTCGCCGGGGGCCAAAGTTTCAGATCTTGGATTTTTTCAGGGGAAAAGTCGGTCAAAGGGTCACAAGCGTCACGAGGACCAAAGTGTCGGATCTTGGATTTTTCCACGGGGAAAGTCGACTTTCGCAAAAATCTAATTTTTTAGCCGGGTGAAGGTTGATTCCATTTTGATTGACTCCTCTAATGCCAATGACACCCTCGGAGGCGCCAGAAATGTCGAAATAAAAAATTTTCATTTTCACTTGGAACAAGGATCAGATTTGTTAACGATTTCATTTTTTATTTAGGCAACGCATGCAAGCGGACGGACAAGGGTGGCTAGAATAAATTCTGCAGCCTTCTCCCCTTGTTGAGTAAAAATTTCAAGCCTCCGCATACATGCGTCTCCCTTCGACCCTCTCGTGAAATGTCGATTTTTGAGATTAAAATAAAACAAAAAAAATGCATTTTTCATTTCAATAACGCATGCGTAAACAGGGATATGAACCCGGATTTAATATAGGCCCATAGAATTACGGGGACCGGCAAGGATTTGGAAAGTCTGAATACAAGTCCTGCTTACGCACCTAACGAGTGCTGAAATGGGACATATAACCAGAGGTAGAAAGGTCTCGGAAGCACTTGGGAAGAGTCTTTCCAAGACCTATCCAGTTCCGAACGGAAAGACCTAAGTAGAATTTATCAGGGGGCCTATTCTCAAAATATTTCCGCGCACGGAAGTGGCTTCGTAGACGAATTGCGTATAGGAATCATATAGGCGTTCCGTCAACGGACTCGATTCCGCGCACGGAAATATTTCGAGAATAGGCCCCCAGGTCCAATTGTTCGACTCGGGGAATTTTTTATTGTGAAGGCATAATAAGTCGGGAAGTTTCTGTAAGATTTTAGTTCTTCGGGAAAAATTACGTGACAATTTCGTACTTTGTTCGGTGATGAACCTGAAAATTCACTGAAAGTTTCAGATTTTTTCTCTTCCATTCCTATTAAAATTGCTGGAAAACAATTCCCCACTGCGGATTACGTGAATTGTTCCGTAATTTTTACTGAATATTTCTCTCCGTGAAAGAGAACTTCATTACGCATTTGATACTGTCAGCGCAAAAAAAGACACCAAACATTTCGAAATTTTGTTTAGTGAGATCTCTATAATATTCTCATGAAACAAAAGTAGCATATTTCGGTACGAGTGCGTAAAAGTGTTGCTTGACCCATGGGAGGTGTGTAGCGGTCGCCGAAGGCGAGTGCTACTCAAGATCGGCGATGTTTTAAACAACATCGATTATCGAAGAATCGATGTATCGATCTCATTATTATTTTGTTTATTCTCAATCAGTCAACATTATTATTCGACAAAAAAAATGGAAAATTTTGTTATTTTGGTCAGAAACATCGATGTTTGGAAAAAAGAATCAAAAATCGATCAATCGGGCTTTCAAAACCTTGAATGAAAAACGTCGATGTTCGGGCATGAAAAATCGATGTTTTCAATTAATCGACAAACATCGCCCATCCCCAAGTCCTCACAAGGGTCAAAGAATACTTTTCCCACGAGTCTCGAATTCTATTTTTCGTCACGACGTGTGGAAAGTGAAATTTTGTGCACGCGGAGCGTGAGTAAAATTTTATTTTACGCACAAGTGATGAAAAACCTATTGAATGTTTACTACAGCAGGAAAACCCGTAGCCGGAGCCAAGCAATCAACATTGGAATCACTGACATCCGAAGCTGCGAAAGTGTCTGAGGAAAAACCAAAAGAACCGGAAATGGAGCAGACCAAGAGAGAAATGCTCGAGTACTTGGAGAAACTCACAAAAGTTGTTCAGTGGACATTGGAACACGTGGAGGGCGATTTTTTACTAAATGTCCCAAAGTTGTCAGAAATTGTTGGCTCTGAAACAGTGGACCCTTCATCATTGGAGAAAAGGGCTATTAATGAGTTGGAGGAAGTGGTCATGTCTTGGGGGAGCCACATACAGAAATCCATAAAGACGTTTTTGGCAAAAGTGCCTGATAAAAGGGGACCCACTGCTGAGTACGAATACTGGCACGAACGGGAAACCGAAATGTCACTGCTAGTTGAGCAATTGAAAACTCCAGCCGTCAAAAATATTATTTCGATTTTGGATAGCGTGGGATCGACAATACCTTCTGCCTTCAGCTATTCTGAGATGGAATTATTTGATTACTATTCCCAAGCTAGAGACAATACTAGATTTTTGGGCACTGTTTTGAGACATTTCAAGGTGAGAACACGTTTTCTGTGACTGATCTCATTCAATAGGGAACTTGCATGATTTAAAAAAAAAATTTTAATTTTAATTTTTGGCTTTAAAGTAGTAGTTGAGAGCAGTGGGGAAAAATAAATGTAAAGTGCCGGAAAGAAATTATTCATTATTGTTAATTTCTTCTATGAATAGGGAACATACGTACGTTTTTTTTATTTTTTTTCTTAATCTAGAAATTGTAACAATCTCCCCAATAATTTTTTGAACCGACCAATTCGCATTTTTCAATGAGAAATCGTTGATTGAAAAGTGCACTTTTTGGGCGCCTCGAGTGGGCTGTGACGTCACAGCACTGTAGTCGTCACGCCTCTCACTCACTCTCGTAGCGGGAGTCGACAGAGCCGACGCGCGCTGTCTCTCTCGCACGTTAGCAGCCTAGTGTGACTGCCGTGCTGTGACGTATCAGCGTCCGAGTGCCCCGTCCGAGCGATCAACTTTCAACTCATTATTAACATTAATAATCCATATCAAAATCAAATTTTTTTCCATGGAATATTTTTTTTATGACCCATAAAACAAATTGAAATGGGAATTTGATCAATTTGAAAAAAATGTATGTTCCCTATTCTAGCTTTGCCTTTTTCCTATCAAATATGTAATAGAATCTGCATAAAAAACAACTAGAATTTTAACGAGAATTCTCGAGAATTTTAATAGAATCCTCATAGAATTTTTAGAGAATTCCAAAAGAATTTTCTAACGAATTCGTTAAGTTACTCTATTAAATTTTCTCATACGTGTACCCAACATTACTTATGCCACTCCGTAACATCGGGGTCGAAATAATAGGGTTCAAAAATGACTGATTTTTAATCAATTATCATAAAATGTTTGAGCAATATTTCTCCATAATTGTTTTCGTTTAGCTATCTGTGGGTTATGTAGATTGGGTGAATAGGGAAATTAAGGAAAACTGAGGTCCATGCAAATTCCTTATTCCTTTATAGAATTCACTCATGACTCTCAACAGGTTATCTTGTCTATAGTTGATGACTGAGACTGACGATTTTAAAACAATCGCTGAGTCCATTCCAACGCTCATGGAAGGATTGAGAATGATTTGGGTCCTTTCCAAGTACTACAGTTCTGAGGAGAAGATGATTCTGATGTTGGATAGAATTTCGTGGCAACTGTGTCAAAATACTTCGAAAAATTTATCTGTCAAGGAACTTTTCCGGTAAATTATAAACTTAATTATTAAAAATAAAATTAGCATGTGATTCCTTCTTTGCACTATCAATATAGTTTGATATAAATTTCAAATTTTTTTATATGTTTTGGTCGTGACGTAATTTTAATGCAAGAATTGGAGTTTTGCGTGATTTTTTTTATTGGTAATATGACCAATTGTCATGAGACACATTTCAAAAATTTCCTCCCCAGGGAATAATTTTTACGGATGCCATCTAAAAGTCCCCCGCAAGACCGGTAAATATCCGGAAATTTACCGGTAAATTGTTGGCTGGATCAGGTCAAATTTTCCAAGTTTTCGTGTTTGATTTTTTTGATGAAACGAAAAATAGAATGAAAAAAACTTAGAAAATTTCTGCTAAGCGAATTCTATAGTAAATATCTCAAGAGAATAAGTTACACGGAGAAAAATATTCAGTAAAAATTCCGGAACAATTCACGTAATCCGCAATGGGGAATCGTTTTCCGGCAATTTTTATAGGAATGGAAGAGAAGAAATCTGAAACGTTCAGTAAATTCTTCGGTTCATCACCGAACAAAGTACGAAATTGTCACGTAATTTTTCCCGAAGAAGTAAAATCTTACAGAAACTTGCCGACTTATTATGCCTCCAAAATAAAAAATTCTTGAACGTTCAACAATTTTTATGAAGTTGGTGAGTTATTTCTACGTTCCGTTACGTACAATTTCTCAATCGTTGGGGAAAAATTACGGAACGACTTGTTGTCCCCACAGCGCTGAGTCATCAGACGAGTGGTTAATTTTAGGGAACAAATCGTAGAATTTACGTGGCGATTTGTACAATTTAATTTTCGACTCACACTTTTTATTGAATTTTACTTCACTCGCGAATTACGTTTCGAAACGTAATTATTACGTTATTTTCTGGTAATTTTTGTTAAATTTTTCTCTCCGTGTACATAGAAAAATCGAATTCTATTAACTTTTCTATTAAATTTTTTCGTGCGTGTAGTGTTGAAGAAAATCTTGAATGCGTTGCTTTCATAGGAAACCTCTAGAAGAAATCCTAGAAAAAACTCTGGACGCTCACTTAATGATGAAGAGTTGGAAAGCATCGTATTTAAAAACCCGTCAAGATATTGAACACTCGGGCAAAGGAACTCGTTGGGAGTTCGATCAGCAACGGCTCTTCAAAGAAACCGAATACATCGCGAAAGTATGCGCCGACTTGAATAAAATCGCCAGTGTTCTCCAAGACTTCTACAACATATTCGGAGCGGACCTGAAATCAGCGATCAATGATCCCGCTCAAATAGATACGATTATCAAGCGAGTTGACGAATTAATCGATCCGGTGAAAAATGCGGACTTCAATATTTTCACTGAATTCAACAAAGAAAATTGGGACGCCACGATGGACTGGTTCTTCCTCGAAGTATCGTACTTGGAGAATGATGCGAAATTTTTTATCGACGAATGCTTCATGGAGCTCATCAGTGCGGAACAGGCACTGGAGGTTTTGTTGAAGTTCAAGAACATGAAGACCAGAGATGCTATTCAGAAACAGTTACTCACGAAGTTCGATATTATTATGCAGCAGTTTTGTAAAGAAATTAACGAAGTCGAAGGGATATTCAATCAAGGTAATAAAGGACAGGGAATTTAAGGTATATCGCGAGACAATACACGTATGAAAAAATCGTATAGAAACTTTCTATACGGATTGCGTATAGAAATTCTATAGCATTTCTATAGCGTACATGATATTCGAATATTTCTGTACGAATATTTTCTATACGAATCATTTCTATAGATAATTTTTTACATAAATTTTTATTTTCATACGAAAGATGTCGAAACGTTCCAGAGAAAAAGAGAGAAATGAAGTTGTCAATTGTTAACATAAATTTAAAAATAAATTTAAATATTATATTTTACGCGTGTGTACGCCTTTAAAATTAAATTAATCATCAATTTGTACATTCAAATTTTGAATTCTGTTATTAACCAATAATGTAGGTAGGAAGATTGACGATTATTTGGATAATCGAAAATCAAGTACCTAAAATTTAGAATAAACTTCTTAATGAAAAATTTACAATTCAATATTATCAAATATTTTATTCGTCATTAATCGAAAAATTTAGTTACCAACTTTTATAATATTTTAAATTTCGGTGAGTATAGCTAAACTTTGATCAATTATAAGTAGGTAATCCTTTTTAATATTGTCGAAATCAAATATTGTTGGCCATCCCTGATCAGCATTTTCTGAAAAAAAACTCCAAAGAAAATCACACATGAAAAAAATTCGTAAGGAAAATTAATCTCAGTGAGAACAATTCGCCGAGAAAGGATTGACGGAAAAATTTCCGGGAATTTTTCAACTGCACTGATAGAACAGATTAGTTATTGTTAATGAATGGATTTGGTTGGAAGCTAGGGTCTATTTGGCGTCACCAAATGTTCATTCGTTAATTGTTAACAAATGCATATTTGAGGAGCCTTGTTTAACTCGACTTTCATCTTTCAAGTGAACCATTCGTTGACTATTAACGAATATTTATTTGGTCATATTCAACTCTACAATTCGTTAATAGTTAACGAATCTCGTTTGAAATAAATGAATCATTCTATCAGTGTGGGGAAAAAAACCCGGCCATGATGAAAAACATGGGGACAATCGTAAGGAAAATTTATTTTCTAAGGATATTCCTTAATGAATATAGTATGGTGTACAGTATTTTCGGAGCTAATTAGCCCCATCAATACCCTTAATTTCATTGATTAGATAGTGGATGGATTCATTAATTTATTCCAAGTATCCATTTATTTGAACTATTCATCCGTTCACGAAAGAAAATAAAAACGGAACTGATGATTTTGTACAATTCAGGAAAAAATCGTATTATCGTTTTTTTGTGCTATGTAATGGCGTGTGGAGGGTCATCTCCCCTTAAATCCCCTTGAAACTCACCGGACTGATTTGATTTCCTCAGGAAAGAGGGATCCTCCTTTACTACGTCACCATCCCCCAGTTGCTGGAGCAATATTCTGGGAGAGACAACTGTTTCACCGGCTCCGCAAGCCAATTTTGATTTTCCAAAATGTGGATGAAATAAAAGAGAGTCATTTGAAGACTATGACGTTCAGTCGATATTTGGAGATCGCGAGGAAGATGAAAGAGTACGAGGAGATGAAATTTAATGCCTGGATAGACAGAGCGCATGCGGTGGTTGTTCAGACTATGAAGAAGAATGTGCTGAGGATGATTCCGGTGTCTGATGAAAAGAGTAAGGCTTTACTGAAAGACAATTCATTAGAGAAATGGTAGAGGATAATTAGTCGGTTTTCAAACGTACGCCTTTTCGACAGATCTTCAGTAGAAAAAAGTCAACCGTCTTCATTTTTCTATATGACTCATTCTCTTATATTACATTATTACGTAATAATAATTCGATAAAATTTTTATCGTCTCCAATTGTCAATTTCTGTCATGTATTCTATTCATTCTATCAAAAGACAAGGATAGAAATCGAATTTAAGGCCCGGGTGGATTATCCTTCGAACGTGATCTTGATTGTTTTTTTTATTTTGATAATCTGAAATGATCTTCAATTGCTATTCAGTTTTACATAACCCTGGAATTTCCAAAAATTATGATTGTACAATGAAAAAAACGTTGAAAAAAGGCTGAACATTTTCAAAGAGCGTTTTTGAATAATATGGGGGAATAAACTCAATAGGGAGGAAATTGCAAATTAATAATTTGATGTATCTAATAGTTGTTGGGCATTTTCTAGCCAATTATCCCTTGATCACTTTTTTTTCATTTTCTTTTCATAATAATAATTGTAATCCAGCAATAGGAATGAGGAGTACCGATATGCTTTTACCATATGAAGAGAAAAATAGATTTTTTCAATTTTCAGGAATACATGGAGAGATTTTTCTATTACCCGAATGAGTTTTCTAATGGCTTTTGTCTGGTGCGTTTGTTTTGACAAAAAAAACACTTTTTATTTATCTTTAACACAATTCCGCTTCATTCAATGTTATAACTTGCCAATTAAGGAAAAAAAAATATAATAGGAATAAGAATGAATAAAATTGAAGTCATCTAATTATGAAGACAGAAATGGAAAGAGAATAAATTAAAATAAAATAGTATAAATAAATCTAGTATATAACATTGATAGTAATGAATTTCAATTGACTCATTGGCTGATTGATAATCTTTCCAGTATTAGAGGCTCAAATAATCGGGAAGATCCTAGCAAAAAAAGACAAAACCAAAGAATCGAAAAACTCCTCTATTTCGGCTTCTAAAAGCACGAACGTCGACTCCTTCTCCAAGACAAAATCCGAAGGAAAAGCAATACGTCACAGTCAACTCCCACGAATATCCACGATGTCATCTCCTGATAAACCCCAGCATGCCACGAAGGTCACCTGGATGGAGATGATGGATGGCAAGATAATGATAGAAAATCAATTGCGGTTCGAAGTGAACTTCGATTGGGAAGTTTTCGAGATAATTCACGAGGCCGAATTGCTCGAGTACCTCGGATATGCCCTGCCAGAGCCTGTTAGGGATGTGGGAATCCAGAGGGATAGATTGAGGGGGGATATTGAAAGTGCCCAGACAATGATTGATGAGTATAACGAGATCATCAATAAATTGGATAATGCAGATGTGAGTATTAAATTAATATTGAGGAAGAATGAGCATATAAACGCTTCGATCATATCCGGGCTAAATAAGTTGAACCCTTAACCCGGCAGTAGGCGCGCGGTTTCACCAGCATTCTTGTGGCGTGCGATGGGGGAATCCCCCACCGGCCTCGCGTGAGAGTTGAGCCAAATATCGCCGCAGGCGGCGCTGTTCGGGGTCAGAAGCCGAGTCCCGCACCCGTAACACGTAAAAAATGTCGGCCGAGCCGAAGAAATAGTAGACTATGTCATGTTATGTGGCTTTATAATCCGAGCCGAAGGCGAGGATTATAATCACATTCGCCAGATAATACTTTTATCGCCGTGTGACATAAATATTTTTTTCGTACTGTCACTTTTCACTTTTCCTCGTCCGGGCAATGGTATTGACCTTTTCCCAAACTTGTGAAAGTGAAAATCATTACGGAAAATATCGTTCACGGCTAGTGCCGTGGTGGAATATACTATTGTTTCCTCCTCAATCCTGATCGATAGACGACTTTTATCACTATCACACAGCAAAAACGACTGCCTGAATTTCACACCGTTTTGTAGACATTTTTCAGACACTAAAAAACGTCTGAATAAAATGAAAATGTGTCTGAACTTCTGACGAACAGGTGTCCGAACATCTTAATTCATGTTTGAACTTCAGACAAATTTTTATTTTATTCAAGTGTTTTTTAGTGTCTGGAAAATGTCTACAAAAGGTGTGTGAAATTCAGACATTTGTTTTTGCTGTGCAGGCTCAACTAGAAGAGTTACTGCAGACATTTAAAGAATTTTAGCGCAATATCTGCACTTTTAGGGAAATATACCCTATATTTCCTATGGAGTGAAAATTTTTGTGGGGGAAAGGCTCATTGCGCACCTACTGACGCGTTAAGTGGTCGCGCTTTTCTCACATCACCTTCGCTCTACAGTGGCGCCCTATAGGTTGTGGATGATTTCGCGGGGATTCCCTGACGCTGCGGCGATTTTACCTTATAATTGGCTACAGCTGTTGGATTTTTTTGATATTATAAATCCAAACAAATCATCGAAAACTAATGCACAGAATTTTCGATTGAATCCTCTGGCGAATGCGATAGCCTGTTCCACTCAATTTTTCTAAATATCATCGAACCTGAACTTGATATAATTGAATTATTTTCTACACGGAGAGGAATATTCAGTAAAAATTACGGAACAATTCACGTAATCCGCAATAGGGAATCATTTTCCGGAAATTTTTACAGAAATGGAAAATAAGAAATCTGAAATGTTCAGTGAATCTTCAGGTTCATCACCGAACATAGTACGAAATTGTCACGTAATTTTTCCCGAAGAAGTAAAATCTTACAGAAGCTCCCCGACTTATTATGCCGCGAAAATAAAAAACTCTTGAACGTTCAACAATTTTTATGAAGCTGGTGAGTTATTTCTACGTTCCGTTCCGTAAAATTTCCGATCGTTGGGGAAAAATTATGGAACGACTTGTTGTCCTCACAGCGGTAAGTCATCAGAAGGGTGACTAATTTTTACGTAACAAATCTAAAACGTAATTTTTACATTTTTTTCTGGTAATTTTTATTGAATTTTTCTCTCCGTGTACCAGATAAAATTACTGAAAAATGCGATCCAACAAATCGAAAAGCGGATTCAACCAGGAGTAACCCGTCTGAATTGGTACACCTTGGGAATTTCCGACTACGCCGAAGAATCAAAGAAACTCCTCAAGAATCTAACATCAATAGTAGGTCAAGTGAATCAAATGAAATTGAACCTCGATCGGCAAATAGAGAGCGAAATCAGCTGCTACAACTTATTCACGACAACAAAAGATCCCAACGACCCGGACTACGAACTGAGCACTTGCAAGACCTACTTCTTGGATATTGAGTTGAAAAGAACTGAGCTCATCGCCGCGATGCGGCGAGTATACGACTCCATCAGCCCCATGCTCATCAAATTGGAGAGTCTCGTTGAGGGAACATCAACAGGAAGAAGCGCAGAAATGCAGCAGTTCTATGAGAGATACGAGCAGAAACTTTTCACAGCATTCATCACGTGCTTCGTGAGAAACTTGGAAGTGCTTAATAATTTACTCTCCGGAGATAAAGTTATCTTCCAGGTGGATGCAATCTTGCTGGCGTCTGAAGTGGTTCTGCGGCCTTCACCCAGTGAGATTTATTCGATAATTCTCCATGATGTTAAGGATCTGCTTGAGAGATGCAAAGTTTTCCCGAGGTGGATGCTGGGGACTTGCCATCAGTGTAAACCAATTAAACAAGAGAACAGTGAGGAGACTACGGTTTTCAGTTTTTTTGAGGATGTCATGAGCATTCAGGTACGTCTTTGCTCAATTGTACGGGAAATATGAGTAAAAAATTGAATAAAACTGTTTTGCGAATGCCTTAGGTTTTTTCTATAGAAAAAAATCGTATAGAAATTTTCTGTACACGGAGAGAAATCTTTTAGAAACATTCTAGTGCTAGCACGGGAAAACAGCGCAAAGTGACCGCCAGGAAAAAATTCCAGTGCCGGCACGAGAAATTATATTGGGGAAAACGTGAATTTTTCTCCGTATTTCTGTTAAAATTTCACAGAAATCCCCCAAAATTTTACCAGAAATAGCAAGAAATTTTACCTTAACAGCACTAGAATTTTTCACAGCCGGTGGATTGTGATTTGTTCTAGTACTCGTACTAGAATTTGTCTAGAAAATTTCTCTCCGCGTAAGGATTGCGTATAGAATTTCTATAGGATTTTCGTATATGATATTCGGATATTTCTATACGGATATTTTTTATACAAGTTATTTCTATACGATTTCTATAGGTTTGATCCTATACGAGCCACTGCCACATGTATAGAAACATTTCGTATGGAGTTGCGACATTTCTCTACGTTTTTCTCGGGAGCGTTTAGACATCTTTCGTATGAAAACAAAAATTTATGTAAAAATTTATGTATAAAAATAATTGGTATAGAAATATCCGAATATCATATACGGAAAGCCCATAGAATTTTTATACGTAATCCGTATAGAAAATTTCTATACGATTTTTTCATACGTGCAGTCATGAGTAATTACTGAAGATGTCATGGGTGGTTCTACCACTAATCAACACACTGAATAGAAAAAAACTTTCAGAGAAGTACGTCCTTACGTATCTAAAGGAACTCATGGCTCGAAAATTTTCAAGAGCGAAATATCTTACACTGAGAGAAGAAACCTTTCGTCAAGAAATTTTATACTTGTCCGAAATATGAGGGCAATTAGTTCATGATAAGATGGCAACTTCTCCAACCAAATCAAGTCGTTTTTGCATTAAAACATTTTTCATTTGAGGCTGAAAACAATTAAATGAATTAGCTCAACTAGACTTGGTTTAAGAAATCACTTTGTTGTCATAAAAAAAAAATGTTCTCGTTCTTAGGACAGGCACAAAATTTCTTGAAGAAAAATTTTGTTTTGTCTGTGTGAGATATGTTTAAGTTCTTGGGTCAAGTTTTGTTGGTTAATTTTCTTGATGAAAAGAAAAGAACAATGAATGAAAAAACTTTGAAAATTCAATTCGAAGCAATTCTATAGAAAATGTCTCAACAGAATAAGTTTTAAATTCGAATTCTATTGACTTTTTCATATAGAATATTTTCTATTGGACATTTCAATAGAATTGGTCAAAAATTAATAGAAAGGTCAATAGAAATTCAATAGAATTGTCTAACGAGTTTGTTAGGTTTTTCTATTAAATTTTTCGTGCGTGTTATTGGTCTTCCAAGAATGTTGACAGAAATTCTTAGTAAAATATTGAATAAATGCTTAAAATTCTAATATAAAGTAAAAATTTCAAAAAAACATTCTAATTTCTACACAAAATAACGTAATTCTAATTATAGTTACATTTTTGACGAAACGTCTTAAAACCCCCATCCGCTACACGATCACATAAAATCCAGGGGCAGTTTTCAATTTTTGAATTATTTTCGAGTTTGATAGCGAAGTAAAGAATAAAATCCCTGAATCTAAGAGCAATTGCAAAATTTTCCGGCCTTTTTTTTCGAAAAAAATGAAAAAAATTAAAATTACAACAAAGACCTTAAATAAAATTTTCCTATCTCTGTTACACTCAGAGATATTCCTCGGAACATCGAAAACAATGTCCCATGAATTTTTCACCAGTTATTACCATAATTATAATAACCCCCATTGATTGTCTTGATATTTTCAAGATTATCAACGACAGGATCACAGCCGTCCAAGAGACAAGTCACAAATTAGCGACAGATTGCTGGAGATACCTCCAAAGATGGAAAAAGTATGGGAATCTCTGGAGGTTCGACAAGATCCAGCTGTGCGAGACATTCGCATCAACAAATCCAACTCTCCTCCAGTACGACGAGAAGTTCACGTTCTATGGGTCAGTAATCGAGGAAATCGACGACATGGTGTCATACTCCGACGTTACCAGCATTAGAATCAATCTATCACCTCTCCTGAAGAGCATTAAAGACCACTCTCAACAGTGGAAGCAAGACTTGGGGAATTATCTCCTCTCCGAAACCCAGCAATCGATGAACAACTTGAAGACTAAAATAAAAAAATTCAGGTCTGATATCGAGTTGGTTGTCAGTGGATTGGAGAAATTCAAAACAGTTATGCAAGCGATTGCGAATGTCAAGAAGATGGGGGTGCAGGCGGAGGTGCAGTACAACGAGTATCAGGAGACGTTCAGGACTTTGAAAATGCATGAGATACAGTACCCGATTGAGGATGAGGTAGAGGCTCACAAGATCCAACAGGAGTGGGAGTCTCTGTACCTTGGGGCTCTGTACAGATCGACGACTTTGGAGAGCACGAAGGATCAATTCTGCCAGATGACGCAGGATCAGATCGAGGATTTCAGGACGGAATGCATCAAGTTTGCGGATCTTTTTGAGAAAACGGGACCTGGGAGTGTTGGAGATGATCTTGATGCGGGAATGAAGATCATGCCGGTAATTAATTCAGTAATGGTCATATTTCCATTCTTGTTCAATTACATTTTCTTTTCCTTCTTTAGGAGTTTGGAAAACTCATCAGTGAATTAGAAGCAAAGCGTCTCGACCTAGTGAATGCGGAAGTCCTTTTCGACCTCGAGCCGGCAGACTATTCTCCCTTCATCAAAGTGAAAGAGGAATACGACGGCATGGAAATGATCTTCGCATTGTACAAGACCCAGAAGAGTGCGAGGGACATTTGGTCGAAGACCCTCTGGGCAAATTTGAATCCTCAGCAGCTCATCGACGGGATGGAGCAGTACATCAAAGAGTTCCGCAGGCTGCCGAAGCCCGTGAGGAAATTGAGCGTTGGCCAGACGCTTGAGGCCGGCATGAAAGCGTTTAGGAACTCAGTGCCACTGTTTGTTGAACTCAAGAACGAAGCAATGCGCGAGAGACATTGGCAAGAGCTCATGGACAAGACTGGACAGTATTTCGATATGGCACCTGAAAGGTGCGGGGACTCATAGTGGACAGATAATCTCAGTGATACTTTAAAATTAAATATTAATTACCGATAAATCTTAAGGATATTTAAGTACTTCGTTTAAGTTGGCAACTGTATTTCAAGCAAGATTTCAATTTTGGTCAGAGTTCCTCTAAATCGAAATTTCTCGAGGACCCAAAGGCATAACAGTTTCAAATTTTTTATGCCAGCATTTTGATATGGCACCTGAAAGGCGCGGGGACTCATATTGGACAAATAATCTCAGTGATAGTTTAACATTCAATATTAATGACTGATAAATCTTAAGGATATTAAGTCCTCGCTCAAGTTAGCATCTTTATTTCAAGCAAGATTTCACTTTTGGTCAGAGTTCTTCTAGATCGATATTTCTCGAGGACCCAAAGGCGCAAAAAATTTCCAATTTTTACCTCAAGCATTGATGACGTTCAGTTTTTTCACCTATCACTCGCGTTCGATACCTCTCATTGCCTCTTGTAAAATAAGTTCCCCGTTGCAACTTGTTCGCAATTCACAAGGTTTTATTTTATCACCCAGTCGGATTTTACTCAGTTGTCCTGAGGCAATTTTCCATTGCACCAAAAACCAAATAAAAACACAATGTATTTTAATTATTTCTACGCAAAGCGACGTGATGTGAACGCTTCATTTTTTCTTCATGAAAGCACTTGAAATAGCTTGAAACAAACTATTCTTTGAAATCACTTGAAATCAGCAATCATTGTCTCACGATATTCGGTAGTGAATAGCCCCTCGAGTCACACGCCTGGGGGTGTAGGGCTCATATCCATTAGAAGTAGTGGAGTTCGACATACGGCCGAAATAGCTATTTTCGTTGCAAGGCAGAAAAAAAAATTTCCATAGTGATTTTCACTTGTACGAGTTTGGGGAAGGGCCAATACCAATCCCCGGACGAGGAAAAGTGAAGGTCAATACGGAAAAGTTGTTTTCAGCTGAGTGACGAAGATAAGTTTTCTTCACAATGTCCGTAAATGGCGTTTGACGGACAGTGTGATGAAAACAGTGGATGCAGTCAATCCTTTCGCTATCAATGTCGTATTCAACAATTCAATTTGTGGAGTATTTACAGAGCCTTTAAAAATTATTATCATACAAACTGAAATTATCGATTAATGCATACTGTGAGGAATAATCATGGAAGGGTGAGATATGGGTTTTTTTATACTGTGTACAAATGCATAAATTATGAGACATCTAATTGGTAGCGAAGTGCAAAAACATTTTTTTACTCATTGATTAAAAAAAAGTCACACAACATTTCTTTCAGTAAACTTCTTCAGTTAAAAACAGTCCCTTTAAATTCTTTATGAAACATTTCCACTATCGAAATATTTTTTCATGCAACAAAGGTATGAAGAGGGAAGAAACAAAATCTGAATTTCTCGTTGATGTCCTAGAATTTTCAATTGAATTTTTCTACTCGAGTTGCTCATTATGTTCTACCACTTCACTACCACTTCATCTTCACTACTGTATCAGTACTCTTACTTGCTCGCATCAATTCAGGTTCACATTGGAGAATATGTTCGCCATGGACTTGGCGAAATTCCAGGACATCGCCAACGTAATCGTAACAAACGCAGTGAAAGAACTGGCGATAGAGAGGGGTGTCAAGGACATCTCAGATTCCTGGAATACAATGGAATTTGCAGTCATAAAGCACTTCAAAGGTTCTCCTCTCACCCTTTAATCTCTCTTCAGCCGGAAATAATACGAACTAAAATAAAATTCCAGGCTCGGAAGACCGAGGATTCATCCTGGGTCCAGTGGACGAGCTGAACCAAGTGTTGGAAGACAACACGATGAACTTACAGAGCATGGCTGCCTCCCAATTCATCGGACCGTTCCTCGGAACTGTCCAGAAATGGGAGAAGTCCTTGCAGACAATTTCCGAAGTCGTGGAGGCATGGATGGAGCTACAGAGACGTTGGCTCTACCTCGAGGGGATTTTCGTAGGAGGCGACATCAGGACTCAGCTTCCTGCCGAGGCCAGAAAATTCGATGACATTGATAACGCCTTCAGGAAACACATGATGGACACAGCGAAACGACTGAACGTCTACGAATGCTGCATGATTCCTGGAAGGAGAGATGCCTTTCTGTCTCTGATCGATGGCCTCGAGAGGTGCCAGAAATCATTGACAGAGTACTTGAACAGCAAACGCATGATCTTCCCTCGATTCAACTTCTTGAGCGATGAAGAACTCCTAGGAATCCTGGGTAGCACTGACCCGGAAGCTATCCAAGAGCACATCGGAAAGATGTTCGACAATTTGGATAAACTCAGACTTGAGAGGGAGCCATTAGGCGATGACGAAGAGAGAACTGTAGCCACAGCTCTGATCTCGTGTGAAAACGAGATCATGGAGTTCAGGGAGAAGGTTCTGGCTGAGGGCAAGATCGAGGAGTGGATGGTGCACGCGCTAGAGGAGATGAGACGATCTAATAGATACCTCACGAAGAAGGCAGTCTACGATTATGGAACGGAGAACAGGCCAAGGACCAAATGGATCCTCGATTTTCAGGGGATGATGATCCTTGTGGCTAATCAGATTTGGTGGACGGCAGAAGTCGAGAATGTCTTCAAGAAAATAAGGGACGGTTCCAAGCGGGCGATGAAAGAGTACCTCCAGCAGTTGAACAATCAGTTGGATGAAGTTGTGACGCTGATGGGGGGCGATGGCCTCACGAACAACGATCGCAAGAAGTTGGATACTGTCCTGACGGTTGATGTACATATTCGAGATATTATCGATGGATTTGTCAGGGATAGTATTATGAATGCGATGGAGTTTGAGTGGGAGAGCCAGCTGAAATTCTACTGGGTCCATGATCTGGATAATGTCTGGGTTAATCAGTGCACAGGGAGATTTGAGTATGGATATGAGTATATGGGGTTGAATGGGAGACTTGTGATTACTCCGTTGACGGATAGAATTTACTTAACCATCACTCAGGCACTTTCTATGCATTTGGGTGGTGCTCCCGCAGGTAAAATTCATTCATTTATTATCTATTTGTTTGTCGTAGCCGCTATTAAAATTGAATGATCATGATAGATCATGATAAATCATCGAATGATCATGATAGATCATGTGGGAAATTTCAAATTCTGTTTCTCAGGTCCTGCAGGAACTGGGAAAACGGAAACAACGAAAGACTTAGCGAAAGCCCTGGGATTATTATGCATTGTTACTAATTGCGGTGAAGGGATGGATTATGTAGCCATTGGAAAGACACTAGGAGGATTGGCGCAGTGTGGAGCTTGGGGATGTTTTGATGAATTCAATCGAATTGATATTTCTGTTCTCTCGGTAATATCGACACAACTGCAAACGATTCGATCAGCTCTTCAAGCCAAATCTGATCGATTTATGGTATTACTTCAAATATACTATTGTTTCAAGCAACGTGAGGAATTGATTCTAGTTAGAATTCAGAAGATTCTGAATATCTTTCAATTGAAAGGAAAAACAGCATCGATAGCGGATGTACTTATATTGTGATGCAATTTTGTTTAGATTTTCAAGTCATTGTTTTATTGGAAATAAGAGATCAGTTAGTTTTGAAAAGCCGGTTTTAAAAATTCAATAGATGAAATTTGAACGTTTTTCACAAGTTTATATTAGCGAAAACCGATTCCGCGATTAAATTTACCCGTTCTCGAGCCTGAAAACGAATGATCATCTACTCGCGAAGTGGATGAAACTTTTAAAAAACTTAATTGTTTCTCAGTAACATTTTATTGCTTATCAGCTATTCTGAAAAGGTAAAAAATTCGAAAGAAAGAGCCAACGGCACGTGGTGTTCCCAAGCGGTCACCCATCCAAGTACTAACCGCGCTCAACGCTGCTTAGCTTCAGTGATCGGACGAGAACTGGCGTTTTCAGCGTGATATGGCTGTTGGCTGAAATTTTGTTGAAAAAAATTCCGAACTTATACTAAGAATTCATAATTGAATCAAAAGTAGCAATGAGCAACTAAACACCGTTGAAAAAAATAGAAGTTTCGTGGAGCAAAATGATATGTTGAAAATGACATGCATTCGAAACGTTATGGTGATATGATGAAACGTTAAAAAACAACTTCAAGATCTAGTCTAAACCCATTTACTGGCAATTTGAGCGCGATATGACTGTTGATTAAAAAAAAAGGAACGTGTTCTAAGAACGTGTGACTGCGTGTCAGTGTGTTATTTCGGAATCGACAATAAAATGTCTCGAATTCCGGAACATTATCCCGAATCCCGGAATATAATATTCCGGATTCCGGTATATTATTCCGGATTTCGAAATATACTATTCCGGATTCTATAATATAAAATCTCGGATTCCGGTATACAGATATATTCCCGATTTCGGAATATTATACCCGAGTTGAGTATATTTTTTTTCCGTGAAGGAGGAGAGCTCTCCTTTGTCGGATTAAAAAAAATCAATATCTACAAAATAAAAAATCATTAAAGATAGGATCAATGTCGTTGACGCAAAGTTTTTAAAATCACCGTCTGATGTCAATATAATCTTACATGTTCTGATCCGTGGCAAAGACGTTGCTGCTGTCTTTAGTGATTTTGTATTATTAAAATCCTGCCTGTTGCGGTATTAGAACGCATTCACTAACTGCCGAATCCGTCTCGCTAACCGGGTATTCATATACGATGACATGGGAAGTAGAGCGCGATTAATCGCGAAAAATCTGTAATATTTGGTGATGTGTATTGTTGTTCAGACCGCGAATTCGCAGAACATAATCGAATTAAAAAAAAATAAAATTTCAGCCAACAGCCATATCACGCTGAAAACGCCAGTTCTCGTCCGATCACTGAAGCTAAGCAGCGTTGAGCGTGATTAGTACTTGGATGGGTGACCGCTTGGGAACACCACGTGCCGTTGGCTTTCTTTTTTTCGGATCTATTTACAATATAACTGATCAGCTATTAAATTTTGCTCATCCATTTTTTGGGTAGATAATTGTTCCCCTCATTAATATTCCGAGAACCCACATGCAGCACTACGCACGAAATGGTCTTGGCTTTGTTTTACGACTCCATTTGAACAGAAAGCCAGTAAAATTCGGTGCAGTCGAGTGAATTTACAGAATTGGTACATCTTACCAACCTTTTAGCCCAACAAGTCATTGAACTCAGCTAGCGGGAGGATGCAACTGTACTTAATTGTTGTTATCTGTTCAAGTTTGAAGGTCAAGATATCGTGCTGGACAGGAAAGTTGGTATTTTCATAACAATGAATCCGGGATACGCCGGTCGAACTGAGCTCCCAGAATCTGTGAAAGCGTTATTCAGACCTGTTGTATGCATAGTGCCCGATAATGAGTTGATCTGTCAAATCAAACTATTTAGTGCTGGATTTTTAACAGCGAAAGTTCTTGCCAAGAAGATGACGGTACTCTACACCCTTGCTAAGGAACAGTTGAGCAAACAAACTCACTATGACTTCGGTCTTCGGGCACTCAAGTCCGTCTTGAACATGGCGGGACAGCTGAAAAGAACTTCCATGGATCTCCCTGAGGATGTTGTTCTCATGCGAGCATTGAGGGACATGAATCTCCCGAAATTCATCTTCGACGATGTCCCACTGTTCCTGGGATTGATTATGGACTTATTCCCGGGGTTGGACTGCCCCAGAGTTGGTTACCCCGATTTCAATGAAGCTGTTGAAAAAGTTTTACAGGAGAGTGGGTGTATTGTACTGCCTCAGCAGGTGGATAAAGTTGTGCAGCTGTACGAAGTTATGATGACGAGGCACTCTACGATGGTGGTGGGACCCACTGGAGGAGGAAAGACTGTAGTTATAGAAACGTTGTGCAAGGCTCAGACTTTACTGGGGAAACCTACCAAGTTATATGTTCTGAATCCGAAGGTAATTGCCTTCATAAGAATAACGAGGTTTACAACAGGATAAGTTGATTTTGCTAGATGATCACTTCTTGGAAAATATCGGACTCGTATCATATCAATGTTCAAATAAGAGTCATATCGATGTTCAGTTCGATGAACTCCAGGGATAGTTAAGATGTTTAACATTTTTTTGCTTCCATCTTCAATAGCATTTCACGTATGAAAACATTTAATAAGAAAATCTAGCGAATTCGCTAGACAATTCGATTGGATTTCTATCGAACTTTCTATTAGTTTTTGGCCGATTCTGTTGAAATATTCAACAGGAAATATTCTATCGAACAAGGTAATAGAATTCGATTTTTCTATACTATCTTATTCTATTTTCCTCGGTTCAAATTTTCCCGGTTTTTTTGTTTGATTTTCTTAATGAAAAGAAGAGAACAATAGAATAAAAAAAAATTTGAAAATTCGAACCGAGGAGATTCTAGAGAAAATATCTCAACAGCGTGAGTTGTATGAAAAAATCGAATTCTATGAACTCTTTCCAAGGAATATTTTCTGTTAAACATTTCAATAGAATCAGCCAAAAACTAATGGAAATCCAATAGAGTTGTTTCGCGAATTAATTAAGTTTTTCTATTACACATCCAAAAAAATGTCAAATATCGAGGCGATATTTATAAAACCAGATTTAATGCCACGAGAACAGATGATTTGAGGAACTCCTAAATTGGCATTTCGTGATTATCGATATTTTGGCAGTTATCATGAAACAAATGAAAAGGACTGCACCTTGCTCATAGCGCGATCACTGGAGGGTTACAAAAGCGATATTTCCCAAAATGTCATGAGCGGACTTGTTAATTAAGTTCATTATGTTCTACTCTTCAAATGTAGGATTATTTATAGAAATCATACGAAACACTTTTTCCGTTGGAAAAACATCAATTCAATTAAAAAATAGTCAATTTCCTCAGGCCTGCGCTGTAGTTGAACTTTACGGAATTCTGGATCCGCTGACCAGAGATTGGACAGACGGTCTCCTCAGCAGCATTTTCCGCGAGATTAACAAACCCGTCGACTCATCCCGGGACGAAAGAAGATACATCCTGTTCGACGGGGACGTCGACGCGCTCTGGATCGAGAACATGAACTCCGTGATGGACGATAACAAGATCCTCACCCTCGCGAATCAAGAAAGAATTAAACTCCAGAATTACTGCAGCCTCCTCTTCGAAGTCGGAGACCTGCAGTACGCCTCCCCCGCGACAGTTTCCCGCGCAGGGATGGTCTACGTCGACCCCAAAAATCTGGGATACCAGCCGTACCTAGACAGATGGATAAACAGTAGAGACGAATCCGAACAGCCAACCTTCCGGGAACTGTCTGAAAAGTACGTGGAGGGCGCGATGAAACTGATCTACCAAGCAATGTTTGGACTTCAGCCAGTGACTCCTTTGAAGATGATCATCCCCCAGACAGCCTTGAACATGATCTCCCAACTTTGCTACATAATTGATGGTCTCTCCCGCCAGCAATCCACGGAAGAAACCACCCCCAGACCGCGGGAAATGTCTGTCGGCGAAGACGAGGAAAACGTCAACGAGAACTTCACCGAGCATAAGGAACTCTTGGAAGCTATTTTCATCCAATCCTGCTACTGCTCCCTGGGTGCAGCTCTCGTAGCAGAATCCAGAGCCCAATTCGACGAGTTCATGAAAAAGACAGCGGGCCTGATGATGATAGAAGACACCCCAGAGAAATTGGCAACAGTTCGCTATATCCCCATCACGTACTCATCTCTTTATGATTACGTTCTAGACGTTACTGAAAAAGTCTGGAGGCCCTGGAGGGCACTGATCCCCCGATACAAACACGACAGAACTAAGAAGTTCAGCGAGATCCTAATCCCTACGATAGATACCATGAGGACAACATGGTTCGTCAGTCTAATGAACCATTTGAAGAGGCCAGTGCTGTTAGTTGGGGAAACAGGCACATCCAAGACAGCTGTCATTCATGAATTCTTGAGGAGTTTAGACTCAGACAGATTCCAGAAACTGCTCATTAATTTCTCCTCCAGAACAACTTCTCTGGATGTTCAACGCAACATTGAATCTGTTCTGGAGAAGAGGACGAAAGATGTTTACGGTCCGTCCCCTGGGAAGCAGTTGACTGTTTTCATAGACGACATGAATATGCCACTGGTCGACACTTACGGCACTCAACAGCCTATCGCTCTTCTTAAACTGCTCTTCGAAAGGGGTGGATTCTACGACAGGGGAAAAGATCTCAATTGGAAGAACATCAAGGATATTTGTTACCTAGCAGCAATGGGAAAGACGGGTGGTGGGAGGAACGAAGTAGATCCGAGGTTCATTTCCATGTTTGCGGTATACAACGTCACCCTCCCTAGTGAGGAAACCCTGAACTATATCTACACAAGTATTCTAAGCGGCCACCTGCAGATTTTCCCTGAAGAAGTCCAAGGAATTGCTGTCACTCTAGTGGAACTGACTCACGACTTGTACAAGATCGTGACGACAGATTTACCCCCGACGCCCTCGAAGTTCCACTACATCTTCAACATGAGAGACCTCTCAAGGATCTCTGCAGGACTACTTCAAAGTGCTCCTGAGTATTTCCCCACTGTTCAGCAGTTTGCGAGACTCTGGAGAAATGAGTTCACGAGGGTCATCTGCGATCGTCTGATCAACGACGAGGATCAAGCTTTAGTTCGCGGACATTTGGAGGCGAAAGTTAAGACTGTGGAGTCCTGGGAGGATGAGCAAGAAGTTATAGATTACATTCTGCGCGATCCTCTCTTATTCGGAGACTTCAGAAACGCTTGCAGTGAAGATCCTCGCTTCTACGAAGACGTACTCGACTACGAAGCTGTCTACAGTCTTTTCATGGAAATCCTGGAAGAATACAACGAGAAGAATCCCAAGATGAACATAGTCCTGTTCAATGATGCCTTGGAACACCTAGTTCGGGTTCATCGCACCTTAAGAATGCACCGGGGGCATATTCTTGTTGTAGGAATCGGCGGAAGTGGAAAGCAATCAGTGATAAGATTAGCCTCCTTCGCAGCTAACTGCGAAATCTTCGAAATCTCCTTAGGAAGGAACTACAACGACCACAGTTTCAGGGACGACATGAAGAAACTCTACAACATCGTAGGCGTCGACGATAAGAAAATTGTCTTCCTTTTCACCGCAGCTCAAGTCGTTGACGAGAGCTTCCTGGAAACGGTCAACAACATGCTGATGACAGGGGTGGTACCAGCACTATTTTCTGACGAGGAGAAAGACTCAATCGTCAACACCTGCAGGGATCGAGCGAAGGAAGCTGGTTTCGGCATCACGAAAGAGAACGTTTGGAGTTACTTCGAGAAGACTTGCATCTCTAACTTGAGGATAGCTTTATCAATGAGTCCAGCGGGAGATATCCTAAGATGCAGATGTCGAAGTTACCCTGGTCTTGTTAGCAGCACGACTGTCGACTGGATGTTCCCTTGGCCACAGCAAGCTCTCCATGCAGTCGCAACGGTTGTCCTGCGAGATAATCCTCATGTTCCTGAGGAACATCGTAAGAGCATCATCCAACATGTCGTTCATGTTCACGAGTCCGTCGGGGAATACACTGCGGAATTCTTGACCAAGCTCAGAAGGAGAAACTACGTAACTCCGAAACACTTCTTAGACTTCATCAATACGTACTTGAATCTTCTAGCTGAGAAGAAAACTTACATAGCTTCACAATGTGAAAGACTCTCAGGTGGCATAAAGAAGATAGCGGAGGCTTCTGAGACCCTCGCTGAGCTGAACGAAATCCTGGCTATCCAGAGGATCAAAGTATCGAAGCAAACACAGAACTGTGAGAAGCTATTGGGTTCAATCGGCGAGAGCACAGATATTGCAATGGAGAAGAAGAACTTGAGCACTGAGAAGAGCGAGGAGATCGAGAGTCGGAAGAAGACAATCGCCAAGGAATCTGCGGAGGCTAAAGCAGTTCTAGCTGCAGCCCAACCGGCCTTAGACTCAGCTAAAATAGCTCTCAATGAACTAGAAAAAAGCGATATTACTGAAATCCGATCTTTTGCGACTCCACCAGAACCTGTGCAAGTGGTTGGTGAGTGCATTGCAATCATTAGAGGTGCGAAAGAGATCTCCTGGAAGACTGCGAAAGGACTAATGAGTGATCCCAGCTTCTTGAGAACTCTGCAAGAGATGGACGTCACTGAAATCACTCTCAAACAACAGCAAGCGGTGAAAGCTCAGATGAAAAAATCAGACAAATTAGACCAGATGGAGTCCATCAGCAGAGCTGGTTACGGTCTCTACAAATTTGTCCTTGCGGTTTTGGAATATTGCGCGGTATATCGTGAGGTAAAACCGAAGATGGAAAAAGTGCAGGCATTAGAGGTAGAAGCAGAACGAGCTCAGAAGGCCCTGGAAAAAGAGCTGAAAGAACTTCAGAAAATTGAGAAGCAGTTGAAAGAATTGAACGCCAAATACGAGATAGCTCTGGCCGACAGGCTAGCCCTTCAGGAAGAGACAGATCTTCTGGAACGGCGTCTGGTAGCTGCAGACAAACTGATAGGAGGGTTATCTTCAGAGAACGTGCGATGGAAGGAAGAATTGGTTAACCTCCAGGCAGAGCTCGAGCTGATAATAGGAAACAGTCTTCTGTCTGCAGGATTCTTATCCTACGCAGGACCATTCAGCTATGAGTTCAGAAATCAAATGGTCTACGACGACTGGCAGAACAGCGTCCTCGAGAAGAGCATTCCACTGTCTCAACCGTATCGAATAGAAACTCAGTTGACTAACGACGTAGAGATCAGTGAATGGAATTCAGAAGGTTTGCCACCTGATGAGCTTTCCGTTCAGAACGGAATTCTCACATCGCGGGCTTTGAGAAGTTCCCTGTGCATCGATCCTCAACAGCAAGCGATAAACTGGCTGAAGAAGAAAGAGCAGAAGAAAAATCTAAAGATCTTGACATTCAATGATCTGGATTTCGTGAAACAGGTGGAAATGGCCATCAAGTTTGGCTTCCCCGTTATCTTCCAGGATGTTGACTACATCGATCCTATCCTGGATAACGTCCTCATGAAGAATCTTCAGACTGTCGGCGGACGAACATTCATTCTACTAGGTGACAAGGAAGTAGATTACGATCCCAAATTCCGATTATATCTCATCACAAAGCAATCGAATCCAGCCTTCAATCCAGCAGTTTATTCCAAAGCTACTGTAATCAACTACATGGTGACATTAACCGGTTTAGAAGATCAATTACTGTCTGTTGTTGTGAGAACTGAGAGACCGGACATCGAAGAACAGCGAGAATTACTCATTGCCGAAACCAGTGAGAACAAGAGTCTCTTGCGGCAACTAGAAGACAGTCTACTCCGCGAGATATCTACGAACCAAGGAAACATGCTGGACAACATTGACCTAATCGAGACCCTAGAAAATACGAAATCAAGCGCAACTGAAGTCACGGAGAAGATTGCTCTCGCCGAAGTGACAGCTAAGGAAGTCAACAAATTGCGAGACGGTTATCGTCCTGCAGCGAAAAGAGGAGCTATCCTCTTCTTTGTACTTGCTGACATGGCTGTCGTCAACTCCATGTACCAATACTCTCTCACCAGCTACTTGGAGATCTTCACGTATTCCTTGAAGAAGGCCCTGCCGAATCACATCCTCGGACATCGTCTGAGGAACATCATCAGCACGTTGACGAAGAATGTCTACGATTACGGCTGTACCGGTATCTTCGAGAAGCACAAACTTCTGTTCTCCTTCCAAATCTGTGTTAAGATTGAGCAGAACTTGGGCAACATCACCCAGCCAGAACTGGACTTCTTCATCAAGGGGAGTGTCGCTCTGGAGAAGACTCAGAGGCCGAATCCAGCGATGTGGCTTTCCTCGACAAATTGGGAGGACGTCGTCAAGCTATCTACAGATTTCCCGGAGCAATTCGCCGAATTGTGCGACGATTTGAGAAGTGACATTGACGACTGGAAGGAGTGGTACGAGTCGGATAACCCAGAAGCCGAGGACTTCCCATCCGGATACTCTGTGAAACTTAATCCGTTCCAGAAACTTATGCTTTTGCGATCCTTTAGAGTGGACAGGGTCTACTGCGGTCTCGTAAACTATATCTCCGAGATAATGGGAGAAGAATACATCGCCCCTCCGAACATCAGTTTCGATATGATCTACGATCAGAGCACCTGCACGATGCCTGTCGTATTCATCCTCAGTCCCGGGTCCGATCCCAGTTCTGAGTTGATGAAACTGGCAGAGAGATACGGTTGCGGAGGTGGAAAGTTCCAGTATCTGTCCCTGGGACAGGGACAAGAGAAGGCAGCTGTTCAGCTTCTGGAGAACGCGACAGCCAGGGGCCAATGGCTGATGCTGCAGAACTGTCATCTGCTCCTGAGCTTCACTCGAGAGCTGGAGAAGAGATTGGAAATCATTGGGAAACCTCACCCAGACTTCCGTCTCTGGATTACGACAGATCCTACTCCGAATTTCCCCATTGGGATTCTACAACAGTCGTTGAAAGTTGTAACCGAACCTCCTAATGGGCTCAAGTTGAACCTCAGGAACACGTACTTCAGGATGCGGGGGCAGACGCTCGAGAACTGTGAACACCCGATCTTCAAGGATTTGGTGTATGTTCTTGCGTTTTTCCACGCTGTAGTACAGGAGAGACGGAAATACGATAATATCGGGTGGAACATTAATTACGACTTCAACGAATCTGATTTCAACGTCTGCACTTCGATCTTGGACACGTACTTGACGAAATCGTGGACGAGGAAGGAGGAGAGGATTCCTTGGAACAGCCTGAAGTATCTCATAGGTGAAGTCATGTACGGGGGAAGAATCATCGACAGCTATGATAGGAGGATCGCGAAGACGTACATGAACGAGTATTTCGGGGACTTCCTTTTCGATGAGTTTCAACCGTTCCACTTCTACCAGGATGACGACGTCGATTATGTCATACCCCCGAGTGGGAATCGAGAATCATATATCGAGTTTATCGAGGACTTGCCTCTCGTGAATTCTCCGGAAGTCTTCGGTCTTCATCCCAACGCGGAAATCGGGTACTTTACGAGGGCGACTAAGGACGTCTGGGCGAATCTCAAAGAGTTGCAGCCGCAGACGGCTGTCAGCTCAGCGGGGATCAGCAGGGATGAGTTTATCGATAATCTAGCTCAAGATATATTGGCTAAGATCCCGGTGGATTATGATTTGATTAAAGTTAAACGGAACTTCGGGCTGGGGGTGACGCCAACGGCTATTGTCTTGTTTCAAGAGCTAGAGAGGTTCAATAAATTACTCGGGAGGATGAGGACGACTTTATCGAATTTGAGAAAGGTAAAACTTCGAGGGACGTTTCTGGTTCTTTTTCTATTTGAGAAAATAATTTCAGGCAATCGCTGGGGAGATAGGAATGGATTCGATTTTAGAGAGCGTTGGGAATGCGCTTTATAATGGAACTTTACCCTTTGAATGGGCGAAACTGGCGCCACCAACTATGAAGAATCTGGGAGGGTGGATGGAACATTTCGATAGACGAATTGTTCAGTATACGAACTGGGTGAGTTATTGAGGATATTGTAAAGTTATAAGACTATTTATCAATGGAAAAAGTTTACTAAATGAATGGGGCGAAAAGAATGAGTAAAAGATATAAAAAAAGAGACATGTCCGCAGACTAGGAATTCAGATAAAAGAATAACGAGTTAGAAAGAGGCGATCGTACATGAAGATGGTTGAGAGGGAGGAAAAGACCAAATACGCAACACTATTAGAGCTACTTTTTTGGATTTTTCAACTAAAATTTATATTAATATTGTTGCGTATTTGTTCTTTTTTGTTACTACTGCTACGTTCACGGCGTGCTAAAGTAGTATATTATGTCATCAGGCGATAAAAGTATTTTCTGACGAATGCGACTTTTTGAAACTCGTGCTTGGAAAAGTCCCTCTGCAGGAATTGAAGTTGTTGTAGGAAGGTTCAATTCACTAACAATGCGAGCATGTTAATTAATCACAATTTATTTACAAGACGTTGAAGAATATATACAAAAGGAAAGATGTTAAGTAGAAGTCGGGTGGTCGACTTGCTGAGGATTCTGCGATTAGCGCCAGACTGAATTCGTGTTCAGATTCGGATGAAATATTATGAAGGTAACGCGCGACGTATTCTCTGTGAGTGACTCAGGTCTGTGTGTCCCGGTCGACGCTGGTCCACGCGAACTCTTGTGTTCGGATGTAGCGAGACGCTAGACTTCTTCGTTTACAGATTTTTATGCATAAAATGGCATTTTACGTTACTTTTACGATAATAACCGAAATATGTCTTTTTGTTTACGAGATTCACTTTTCGTTTACAACAGCTGACTTTCTAGTTACAACATGAGGTTCATTCCTGTTACATTTTCGACCAATCCGACGTCGTTGTTCCTGTAACTACGTGCGTAGCTGAAAACATGCGAATTCGCTAGAAAATTCAATTGGATTTTGATTGAACTTCGTATTAATTTTTCGCCGATTGTATCAGCGGAAACATCTTCTGAACAGAACGTTCCCCCAGAACTCTTGCACCGACAGAATTTGGTAGAATTCTCCATCTAAAAAAATGATGTGTTGTTCATTGGAGATTCCTCGTAAGGAACTCAAAATTCGAACATTCCTGCAGGGAACCCCGAAAATTTTCAAAAAGTGGCATTGCCAATACATTTTTAGAAAATGTCGTCGAAGAGTCCATAGTCCATCAATTTTTTCACAGTTTGATTGAAAAATCGTTGGAAGATGCAAATTTCACTTCATTTATTCATTAAAAATAATGGTAAATACGAATGATTCAAGTCAACATGTTCTTGAATTTAAAATTCTTGGAAAATTCATCTCGTTTTTCAATTAAAAACTCAAATAAGTTGGTGAATTTACTTCTCATATCTACCTTAAATTGTTGAATTTATTTGAATTCTCCTTGAAATTTGAAATCTCGAGAATCTTTTCCTCAAAATGCATTTCATTGTCACTATCCTGAAAATTACTGCGAACCTGCCTATAAAATTTCAACATTTTTTTACGTGTGGACAATTCTAAACCAAAAGTTTCACTCGTACATTCTATAAATCGCTTCGAATGAATTACACCTTCATGCCACAATTCCAACTTGACAATTTTTCATCAAACAGTATAAATATTCGTCTGATAAAATTCTAATTTATTAACATTTTCATTTTTCTCTGGTTCCTATTTCTTCAGGCTGGATGCAATGAACCTGTAGTCATCTGGCTCTCAGGTCTGCACATCCCACAGACTTATCTAGCCGCTCTAGTCCAGATGGCATGTAGAAGAAACAATTGGCCACTCGATAAATCACTGACGTACACAGAAGTCTCAAAGTTTTCCACCACTGATGAAGTTGAAGAGAGACCTGACCAGGTAACAACAATTTTCTAAATTGAAAAACCCTGAATTGTGGAGACAGTAAGTCTTCATAATGCAAAATATTTCGATACAGGGCTGCTACGTCGAAGGACTATATTTGGAAGGCGCGAGGTGGGACAAGAAAGACCACTGCCTCCGGAGATCACACCCCAAGGTCTTAATCGAGGAATTACCAATTTTGACGATTGTTCCTATCGAATCCCATCGCTTGACATTACAAAATACTGTGAAGACGCCAGTTTACGTGACTTCACGGCGCCGCAATGCGATGGGCGAGGGGCTCATGTTCGAAGCTGACCTCAGGACCACAGAACATATTTCTCTATGGGTTTTACAGGGTGTTTGCTTAATTTTAAATACTGACTAATTCATCTGTACGTAATCGATAATGTTACAATATATTATTTCGAAACGAAATATTTGAATTTCAGTAGCGCAGCGGTAAAACGGTTTAAGTCATTTTTTTTAGAAAATTGGATCTTTGTCTAAATCGATTTCGAAGGTAACGATAATAATTTTTGAGGTACGCCTCTCTGTAAACCGGTACTTGGTAAATTGTGGATTAACAGACGACAAACAAAATTAAATAACTCGTAGTAACCCAGTAAGCAAAAGTTTAGTTTTTATATGTTCCTGGTGCATACCTCAAGAATGTGAATACGTACTAAATACATTCCTGAGGAATGAAAAAATATTTTAAAAAAAATTGTTCTGTGTAATGAGCAAGACATTGATTTTTTGAGTAATCAATGTTTGTTAACACATCGCCCATACCCATTTTCAAATTTCTGAGTTTGAGAAATATGCAATACCAATTCCCAGACGAGGAATCGTGAGAAGTAGCAAATAAAAATCCTATTACGGCCCTCCTAGAAGAAGTCGCAAATTTCGAGATAAAGCGTTCTACCGCGTTTCTACTAATTTATCCCGTTTTTTTTCGAAAGAGTGCTTCTTCCACTCCACGATGCCCCTATTGATCCATATTTATTATTAAGAGTAATTATGAAAAAATGAGGGCCAATTCTCCGGGATCGAACCCAACATACGTTGCGAAATCATTGTTCTGTCTACTGAGAAATAAAATTATTCCATTTCATGAACAACTCAACTCGTCATTAACATTTCAAAAAAAGTCAAAAGTGTCCATTTTACCCGCACCAGGAATTTACAAGAATGTTTTAATTAGCAGAAAACAATTATTTGAAGTGAAAATAACAATACAAAGAATAATTAAATTATGAAATAGTTGCATGCAGCCGAAACCCCTAATTTCTGGACAACTGAGCCATATGTTTTTCATTTATTAAATGTAGATCAATAGAAAAAATAATTAGGATGTTGCGGTCTGTGGTGCGTACCTCTGGTGCGTACCTCAAGAATGTAAATACATACTAAATACATTCCTGAGGAATGAAAAAACATTTTTAAAAAAATTGTTCTGTGTAATGAGCAAGACATTGATTTTTTGAATAATCAATGTTTGTTAAAACATCGCCCATACCCATTTTCAAATTTCTGAGTTTGAGAAATATGCAATACCAATTCCCAGACGCGGATCGTGAGAAGTAGCAAATAAAAATACTATTACGGGCCTCCTAAAAGAAGTCGCCAATTTCGAGATAAAGCGTTCTACCACGTTTCTACTGATTTATCCCGTTTTTTTTCGAAAGAGTGCTTCTTCCATTCCACGATGCCCCTATTGATCCATATTTATTATTAAGAGTAATTATGAAAAAATGAGGGCCAATTCTCCGGGATCGAACCCAACATACGTTGCGAAATCATTGTTCTGTCTACTGAGAAATAAAATTATTCCATTTCATGAACAACTCAACTCGTCATTAACATTTCAAAAAAAGTCAAAAGTGTCCATTTTACCCGCACCAGGAATTTACAAGAATGTTTTAATTAGCAGAAAACAATTATTTGAAGTGAAAATAACAAAACAAAGAATAATTAAATTATGAAATAGTTGGATGCAGCCGAAACCCCTAATTTCTGGACAACTGAGCCATATGTTTTTTATTTATTAAATGTAGATCAATAGAAAAAATAATTAGGATGTTGCGGTCTGTGGTGCGTACCTCTGGTGCGTACCTCAAGAATGTAAATACATACTAAATACATTCCTGAGGAATGAAAAAACATTTTAAAAAAAATTGTTCTGTGTAATGAGCAAGACATTGATTTTTTGAATAATCAATGTTTGTTAAAACATCACCCATCCCCATTTTTAAATTTCTGAGTTTGAGAAATATGCAATACCAATTTCCAGACGAGGAATCGTGAGAAGTAGCAAATAAAAATACTATTACGGTCCTCCTAGAAGAAGTCGCAAATTTCGAGATAAACCGTTCTACCGCGTTTCTACTGATTTATCCCGTTTTTTTTCGAAAGAGTGCTTCCTCCATTCCACGATGCCCCTATTGATCCATATTTATTATTAAGAGTAATTATGAAAAAATGAGGGCCAATTCTCCGGGATCGAACCCAACATACGTTGCGATCGCGAATTGAGCTCAGTCTAAGCTCATCACAAAGAGGAATCATTGTTCTGTCTACTGAAAAATAAAATTATTCCATTTCATGAACAACTCAACTCGTCATGAACATTTCAAAAAAAGTCAAGTGTCCATTTTACCCCACCCACCCCTATCGAATCTAACAAGAAAAAGGGCATATGAAAGAGCAGCATCAACACTGCGGTCACTTTCAAATTCAAATTTTTGACGTTACCGATGGAGTACTCCGATAAAGCAGTTCCCTGCCTGTACAGATCCCTCCTGCAAAAGTGGTGCTCATTCCAAACATGACGTAATCCCCTCACTCCGGGATTGCTGTCATTCTCCCGTCAAAACAATACACCCAAAAGAAAAATCACGAGTTATTTCCCCCGCATATCTGCCTCCAATCGGCTACTCGCATTATTAAAAACCGTTTAAAACCTCTCCACCGAATTGAGGACAAATGAAACAAGTGTAAGTGCATCGCCAGTATCAAAGACTCCATCTGGACGATGAGAAACAGACAAAGAGCTTGACAGTGACGGGAATGAAGCGCGTTCGTATTGGATTTATTCTAATTGCCTTCAAATACACAGTGTTGAGTTATTTCGTGTGGCGGTATTTTAGAAACAGGGCGGAGCCGAAGCCCCCGAGTGACACTTGATAATTTCTGTGATTTCCGAAAGAATTAAGGGACAATTGGGGCGCAGCTCCGTGCGAGGATGGAGATCGTTGTGTCTTGGAAAGGGGAAATCAGTGGTTGACACAACTCGGAGTGGGGAAAGTCGCGAAATTGCGTCACGATTGAATTTTTCATAATATTATTGTGACAACAGTTGGCTTTTCAACCAAAATGCGCATCTGCGTGCACACGGTAAGTCAATTAAAACGTTATTTAATTAGTAGAAATCAGTTATGGCGACTGGCTCATTTTTTTGCACTCATACTGGGGAGATTCACTTGCTGAGTAATGCAATAGGTCGTGTATCGATTTTTTCCGCAGTCTCCACTCTCCCTTTATTATTTACGGTAATAATCATTGTTTTGGGTCAATGACGTTTCGACGGTTGACACTCTGCTACATCATTGGGCTTTAGGTTTATTCCATCTGTCAAACGTTTTGTTTTGTTGTTCGACGTCTATTTTTGAGGTTATGTTTTTTTTTTTAATCAAGGCTGTGCGTGATTCATTGATGAATCAGGCGAGTATTGTGAGAAAGTGTTTACAACGGGTTCATGTTATATACGCATGCTAGAGAGTGAAATTGTAATCGCGATTCGTTGTTCGTGAAGCGATGGGTGAGGGGTAAAAAATGTACAGGTGCTAGGGTGAACTGGTCAATTTCTGGACGATTTCAACTTGCATTGGATATTCCATTAATAGAATGAAAATTGTATTGATTATTTCAACTTTTAATGATATTACTCGTGTGTAATCATGTGATCAATGATTTTTTTGTATGAGGTGAAATCATGGGATTTTGGACACAGTAAAAACGACACTATCTCATGGTCGAATATCCCGATGTTTCGATTAAAATTTAATCTTCATAAGGCTTTGGAAATTAATTACACGAATTAATCAGTTTAAAAAGATCAACAAAACCTAAAATTATCTTGCGTCACTTAAAACAACTAATAACATTTTATTCTATTCTATGTTTTTGGCCGTCCAACTTCGAGATTTTACGGGCCTCAGAATTAATAACAATTTAACGTTCTTAAAAAAACTTTAAGGAGTATCTCTAAAAGAATAGCTTGACATCGATAGTGTTTTCTCACTGTAAAAACTATTTTTTCTAGTGTAAATTAACATCATCATACAGCAAATTAACCACAGACCGCAACTTCCTAATTATTTTTTCTATTGATCGACATTTAATAAATAAAAAACATATGGCTCGGTTGTCCAGAAATTAGGGGTTTCGACTGCATCCAACTATTTCATAATTTAATTATTCTTTGTTTTGTTATTTTCACTTCAAATAATTGTTTTCTGCTAATTAAAACATTCTTGTAAATTGTACTGATTATTTCACCTTTTAATAATATTACTCGTGTGTAATCATGTGATCAATTATTTTTTCTGAGGTGGAATCATGGGATTTTGGACACAGTAAAAACGACACTATCTCATGGCCGAATATCGCGACGTTTCGATTAAAATTTAATCTTCATAAGGCTTTAGAAAATAATTATCCGAATTAATCAGTTTAAAAAGATCAACACAACCTAAAATTATCTTGCGTCGCTTAAAAGAATTAATAACAATTTAACGTTCTTGAAAAAACTTTAAGGAGTATCTCTAAAAGAATAGCTTGACATCGATAGTGTTTTGTCACTGTAAAAACTATTTTTTCTAGTGTAAATTAACATCATAATACAGCAAATTAACCACAGACCGCAACATCCTAATTAATTTTTCCATTGATCTACATTTAATAAATAACAAACATATGGCTCAGTTGTCCAGAAATTAGGGGTTTCGGCTGCTTTCAACTATTTCTTGATTTAATTATTCTTTGTTTTGTTATTTTCACTTCAAATAATTTGTTTCCGCTAAATAAAACATTCTTGAAGGTATGGAAGCCATCACATCCCCATTTAGGTGATTCTTTTACTTTAGATCCTACCACGAAACTCAAAATTCCCTTAACCGTCCAGCAATTGGCTTGTTTACCCTAGTTTGGCTTCAAATAGCGGAGGAATACTGAGAGGAGATTAACTTTGTTGTTTAGGGCTTGGTGGGAAATACGTAATCAATGTGGAAAGTGTTTGGGTTTGTTGCAGACTTGCTGAGGAGTAAAATGTTTCGCTGAGATCTCGAGGTCTGGGATATCTCGAAGTGGTAGAAAGATGTATGGGGGTGGTGAGCAGACAGTGTCCGAGCCCTGGCGCAAGGCTCTGGACCTGGGGACGACTGCGGATCCTAATGCCAGCTCGTCTACTGACGATGATGATCATTTTTGCAAGCTTGTGTTGTATAAGGAGATCCAAGAGTCTAGGTAAAATTATTCATTCTCTTTTAAAGGGGAAGTTAATGGAGATGTTCTTGGCGTGTTTTTTTTTCAACTTAACCGGGTGTTTTTTTTAAGGAATTTTTTTTATTTCAATTTTTACCTGTTTCTTGAAGATAGAAATGTTGGTTAAATAATTGCACCCGTCCCTCCTCCCCTCCTTTGCCTGTTAGGATTCAATTATTTTACTGACTCGGAAACCCAAGAAACACAACAAAAGTCGTTTCAAGGAAACACCCGGGTAAGTGGAAAAGAAACAAGTGAATAATTGCATTTCATTTTATAAAGGAGTATAGTCATTAAGAGGCAATGGAAATTACCATCGGAGTAGAAACTGGATTCCAAGTTTATTCGTCGTCAGACGACTGTCCGACGAAACCCAAATTCTTACACTATAGATATCAAGATTATTGATGATCATTATTGATGATCAAGATTATTGATTATTGATTTGAGTGTTACTAAATAGTCGTCTGACGACGAAAAAACTTGAAATCCAGTTTCTACTCCGATGGTAAGTTCCATTGCATTTTAATGCTGATATTCATTTTCATCATTTTCCAAATTTATTGCAATTTGATTATTGGTTGAGCTTTCCGTGATTAATACCCATCGAATTTTGGTTTCAATTTGTTATCGAAAATTGACCTTTTTTGATTTCTTTACAATTTTTCTACAATTTTCAATATTTATAAATGATTTTTTTTGTATATTCGATATGACCCTTCGCGAAATCAATCGTATGAAATTTAAAATTACTCATTTCCTTCTGTTAGAGATATCCAAGCACTTTGGCTATTTTTTATCGAGAGAAATGCTTTTCTATATTTTTAGTCGAACATCAGAGCTTTCGTTTGAGCTCCATTCGATCCTAAGTTTCCGCGCCTTTCGCAATGATATTATTATTTAAAATTTGTAAGTCTGAATTTGAATTAGGATATTGACTCATTAGAAAACATTTTAAAAATCTGGAAAAAAATTAAAAAGCATACTTTTGAGCGAAGACTCATGAAATAATTAAAAAATTTCAATTTTTTAAAGTTACGAGCATTTTGTATAAATAATTTTGAAAGAATCAATTTTCCACCATAAAAATCTTTTATTCGGAATTATAAAAAATTAATTCATATTCAGAATTTCACCAGAAATCGATTACATGCCTAAAAAAATTAAGACTACGACTTTTTAAAAAATAATAATTCTGTGCAAAACGTGATCTGCATAACGCAGAGTATTCATGATTTTTAAAAAATTTTCTCACGCAATTTAATTGACAAATTTGATGATTGAAAATGACTGAATCTACAGTGTGGTCTATAACAAACTGAAAGAAACTTAGATAAACTGAAAAAAACCGTAAAAAGAAAATCAGTATTATTGAAAAATGGAAATTTCGTGACGTTTCATGCCTACATTGTTACTGCATGAAGAAGCAATTGACGAAAATTTGCTGAAATTTCCCACTGAATACTTGTGGTACTTGAAAAAAGCGCTGTGACCCCCCCGTAAGTACTTCACGCTTAATAATTCTATGATTTCTTTTCTACTATTGTTCCAGGGTACGAATATGGGATTTAGTGATACTGATACCAAATTTAGTGTTTCTTCTATTCATCCTTGTGAGATTCAATCGTGCTAGGCTCAAGTTACGTGCAACAAGTAGTCCAATATATTTAGCATTTTACGGACTCGTTTTCTGTAACGTTGTAATATCAGTGATAAGGTGTGTGGTGTCAATGACAGTTAATGCTGCTGCCGATGTTGGTGAAAAAGCAGACAAAGTGTTGTGGGTGACAGTTAGGTTCTTTCTTCTCTCCACAGAGATGAGTGTTGTCATATTTGGACTGGCGTTTGGTACGTATCACCGCCCAATTCAAATCCAAAATTTTTCGCCCATTACTGAACGGTATTTCCGCATTTTCAGGGCACCTGGACAGCCGCTCCAGTATTCAGAGAGTACTGCTGGCCACCTCGTTCATATCCCTAGCGTTCACGATAACTCAGGGAACACTTGAGTTGGTTTTACCGGACGATACATTCCACATTCCTAGTAGAGATTTTTACGTATTTGGACATGGGGGCATGATGTTCTGGTTCTGCAGCAGTCTCGTATTCACGCTTATTTACCTTTTCATACTTATTCTACCGAGGACAAGACTGCGGGAGAGATTGAATTTACCTAGTAAGCATCATTTAATCCTACATTACTTTAAGGGGAGACGGAATCCCTTTGTCCACATCAAATCTTAGAATTGTGTTTTCTCCTACAATTATTAATTTCTATCTATGAAATTATTTTATCGACTCGATTATCGCATTGTTGAGTCAATGAAGTAGTTTAATGAATAAAAAATGATAATTGCAGGAGAAAACACAATTCTAAAGATTCTTATAAACGCAGGGGTTCCGTTTCCCCAAAACAGTTTTAGAGGATAGGGAAAGGGGAAAGATTGATTGATTGTTGATGTTTATTATGTAGTAAAGACGAGTCATGCACAGGAAACAGAGAAACAAATTAGATAAAAGCATAGAATTACCGTAAGTAACTTAAGGGGAGACTACTGTGAGTTTTAAAAGTCGTGGGTTATTGGACTGAGACTTTTCATACGTAGAAGATCGATTATATAGATCTCAAAACGTATAATTAGTGCAAAAAAAAACATTTTTTATTGTTCGTTTGCCCGAAAACGTTTAAAATGCCAAAAACAGTCGAGGGCCTCCAATTTTTGCGCTCCGGAGGATTTTTTTTTTTAATTTTCGGAAAAATATGTGGAATAACAATTACGAGACAGTTTCTTTTAATTCACCTCTTACATGGCTAGATTTTCTTTTTTTGTATTTTTTTACACAAATAGTGAATTTTTTTATATGAAAAAAACCAAAATCAGCTGTGTAGGAGTTGAATTCCGAAAAATTGGCTCGTAATTGTTGTTCCACACATTTTTCCGAAAATTTTGAAAAAAAAATCTTTTGTAGCTCAAAAATCGAAGGCCCGGGACTGTTTTTAGCATTTTAAGCTTTTTCGGCCAAACGAACAATAAAAAAAAATTTTTTTGCACTAATTATTCGTTTTCAGATCTATATAATCGATCTTCAACGTATGAAAAGTCTCACTCCAATAACTCACGACTTTTAAAACTCATAGTAGTCTCCCCTTTAGGTGTTCCGTCTGCAGATCACAAGGGGGTGAAACGGAAGGGGAGTCTTATTTTTCTCGAGCCCTGATCAAACTTATTTTTTAAGTTATCATGTATACAAGCAATCTCACGTGAAAAAACGAAAAACAAGGATAAAACTACATTGCTCAGGGTGGAATGGTTCTTTTTCGATCCATTTGAATAGGAATCATGACGAGTATTTTGAAAAAAAATTGGAATCCGTCGCATGGTTAAGGAGATATCGGCAAAAAACGATTTTTGAGGAATCGCTACATCTCAGGAACCGCTCAACCGATCGAGCTGAAATTTAGCACAAATTTGACTATCAGTAGTACCAATTAGCAGCCAGAATTTCAGTGTCTTTGCTTTCATCGTTCTCGAGTTATAGGGACAGGTCTGGACAACCGGACATGAATGTACACACACATACAGACATTTTTTAAAAACATCGTTTCTTCACGTTTCATAATATTTCTAGGCATTTCTGGGGGGGGGGGGTACTCCTTAACCATTCGAAAACAGGTGCCACCACGGTATGATTGATTTAGATAAAAGGTGTCGAGACGAATATTTTGAAAAAAAAGGGAAATCGGTTGCGTAGTTTTGAAGATATTGCATATAAAAAATTTGCTGGGTTTGGGGCGCTATGTTTTATTGTCTCGAATATTCATCTCATTCCTAATTTTCTCAATCAAAACCAAGTGTCTTTCTATCGGAAAAACATCCGAATTGACTTTTAAAAGTTAATATTTCACATTTGACGGGAAAAGACGGATAATTCGATATCAATGGGGGGGTGCCCCTTAACCATTCGAAAACAGGTGCCACCACGGTATGATTGATTTAGATAAAAGGTGTCGAGACGAATATTTTGAAAAAAAAAAAAGGGAAATCGGTTGCGTAGTTTTGAAGATATTGCATATAAAAAATTTGCTGGGTTCGGGGCGCTATGTTTTATTTTCTCGAATATTCATCTCATTCCTAACTTTTTCAATGAAAATCAAGTGTCTTTCTATTGGAAAAATATCCGAATTGACTTTTAAAAGTTAATATTTCACATTTGACGGGAAAAGACGGATAATTCGATATCAATGGGGGGGTACCCCTTAACCATTCGAAAACAGGTGCCACCACGGTATGATTGATTTAGATAAAAGGTGTCGAGACGAATATTTTGAAAAAAAAGTGACATTGGTTGCGTAGTTTTGAAGATATTGCATATAAAAAATTTTCGGAACAAGTCGAATAACTCAAAAATTACCGACGCGATTGAGCCCATCTTCAATACGAACTGTGGTTATCATGAGAGAAAGATTCAAAAATCAATTACATGAAAAAACTAATCGTGGATCTGTTTAAAAAACAGTGGCCGAGTGATCGCAAAATTTGGAAAAGGGTGAGAAATCAAGGGTCCTAAAAGCCAATGCGTTCAAATGTCAATAAATATTGGAAATACAGTAGAGGCTTCGTATAAGATACCTCTCTTTAAGATACCTCGCGCTCCGAGCGCTCGAGGCCTGCCCCCACTCTCGGCACTTTTATCGCCTCCCGAATGTTTGTTTCGTGGACTTCTTATAAGATACCTATGGCCCTGGGCATTTTTCAACGGGAAGAGAGTAGTCATAAGGATCAAACGGTGTTAAGAATTAAACGGGAGGGACGAACCAAGTGATCATGAGGGTCTAATGACCTTAAGGGGGGAGGGGGTCACAGCACTTTTTTCAAGTAATGGAAATATACATCGATTTTTTTTCCACTTTTCCCATCGTAAAATCGTAATTTTTCGTCTGTGATTATTCTCAATTCCATCAACAATTCCCCAACATCGGCTACCATTCTATCACGCGGGGTCATGTTTAGAGAGAAAAGGGAACACCGGCGATGCAAATTCACAACATTAAACACATATAAATTGATTAGTTATCGATATTCATTCAGTAAAAATGAAAATTCCATTGAATTCGGGCGCAACGAGCGAGGGGTCTTATTTGAAACCCGCTGATCCTTATTTTTCTCCTCTCTATGGGCGCGCGTAGTGGGGGCATAGGGGTTCCCGGAATTCCACTCTCCTACCGTCCCTAAGGTATCTTACACGAAGCCTCTACTGTAAACAACGAATGCATCCTGTAAAGCGGTCCAATGAAAAATATTCTCTCCTCATTACTGTGATTGATCAAGTAACATGTAATTGCAGTAAAAATATCACTAAAAGTAATATTAATGCCGATCCCTGCTCCGCATTATGCAATTTCAGCGAAAAAAAGTTTTTACATCTACGTCGGAGCTTTAGCAGCCTTGAATCTGATACAATCAATCGGAGCAGGACTTCTGAATTACACTCAAAACCCAGCTGGACTGTGCGTCGTGGATTTCACAGCCGCGCTATACCTGACGTTTTTTACACCGCTCGTTTACCACACCTTCTTATCAGAGGTCTTTGGGTGAGTCATAAAAATTCTCAATGTTGTTTATCATGATAGTATGAAATGAAGCTGAAACTAGCGAAAGATTCGACAGCAGAAGATTTGTCTTAGGCGAGTCCAGGAGTCGACAGATGTTTTTAAGTAATGTACAAACTTTTTTGCACTTAAAAAACATTTGTACATATGATTATTTGACTCTCCTACACTTAAATATCCCCTAAATTGAATTCTCCGCTGATGAATATTCTGCTAGGTTCAGCTCCATTAGTATGGACCAGGTATGATTTTTCAGAGTTCAAAAACGTTTTAGTTTTGGCTCCGACTGTTTAGGACAGAGTCCTTAAAGAGTGAGAAATCATAGAGTTAATAAAATGAAGACTGTCAGTTTTCCAGTGACAGCAGTCGAAATTTTGGGAATTTTGTCTCTAAATATTATGAATTTTATCCCGAATATTTACACCGAGAGGAAAACGAACAAGGATTGTTTAGACCAAGAAAATCACCAGTTGGAAATTATAAAAAAAAAGTGGGAAATTGGTCTTGTATTGTATATAGGGGAGGGTCGGGCAAAATGGGACGTATTGAGATCTTTTCCAATTGTCAATATCTTCATTACAAGTGAAGATCTTGACAATTGGAGTTGAGATCTTTTCCAATTGTCAATATCTTCACTTATAATGAAGCTATTTAGTTGTCAATATCTTCACTTATAATGAAGATATCAATATGTTCACTTATAATGAAGATATTGACAACTAAATAGCTTCATTATAAGTGAAGATCTTGACAATTGGAAAAGATCTCAACACGTCCCATTTTGCCCGACTCTCCCCTAGTACCCGGAGAAAAAAATACAAAAAAAATTACTGTGATGGCACGGTAAGATGGGTTCAATTGGACGGACTCGGAAAATTTGCTGTGGAATACAAGAATTTTTCGTAGTAAATTCGAGAAAAATTCTTGTGGCACGCAGCAAAAATTCTGGTGCTGGCACGGTAATTTCCGGAACCGTCTAAATAAGCCCATTTTACCGTGCAAGTAGTGATTTTTCTGGTATTTTTTTCTCCGTATATAATTATTTTTGTTAATAAATTAGCAATATGTTCTTGAAAGGTTAATAGAAAAATTTTATTTATACATATTTGAATGAATTTGAAACATACCATTTGAAGAAACCATCAGAATGCCACTTTCAGGGAAATTCATGAAAAATTTGGAATTTTCAGCAATCATCAGAAAAATCAAATAAACAAATACAGACATTCGAAAAAATAAAAAAACATGGTACATACAGTTTTTATTTGTTGCTTGTTGATTTAAAAAAATAATTGAATTGAGAAGGAAATACCGAAAGATATTTTTAAGCTTTTTAAATTAAAATCCCTTCTCATCAAATATATGATACATAACTCCATTGTAAGAAGTTCTTGTTAAAAACCTTCTTGAAGAAAAATCTTATTTCCAATGGAAAGGAGTTTCAATATAAACACCTTAGTGCTGTTTTATCTCGATCGACTGTTTAGTATCATCAATAATACCAATTTGCAGTATGAAATATAGCACAGACACCGACGAGGAAATCGGAGTTTTCGATAAATGGTATCACCGAAGAGATGAGAATCTAGAACGATCACTATAAAAGCGCGAAAGACAATAAACTACATCATGTTTAGTCTGGAAATTGTTGATCATTGCCTACTTTTGCAATACTGAAATTTCGATCATAACTAGTGGAAGCAAAGCAAAAACAAGTGGAGTGAAAAATTGAACTGCAGTGAATTAATTCGTTAAATTGAAAAGATCAACTGCATTATTTCCACAGTGGCATAATTTTTTTATGCAAACCCCCTAGATTCGATATTCAATAGGACGTGAAAAATCGAAACATCTGACGAAAAAAATTTCATAAGAGCCCGTGTATAAGGAAAAATTAGTTTATCCATTTCTGCCGAGACTATTGCGATTAATTTTTCTTCAACGTTAGAAAAGTTGGTTTTATATGTTCTGCTGTCAGCCGAAAAAATTACAGAATTTTCCTTGAACATGAAAAAAAAAACATTTACCAACAGATCAAAATCTGCCAAAATTAGTTAACCCCTCAAGAACGTGACAGATAATCCAATTCCGCCAGCGCCATGCGAAAGCTGGATAGTGTAGCTTCAATTTTTGATGCGTAACAGAAAGGCCCCGTACGCTAGGGGTTAAAAAGACAACTTATTCAATTTAATAAAACTACTAGATTATATTATATTAATTCATTCTATTGTTTTCTTTCTAATTTTTCTTTGCGGTTAGATTAAATTAAATTTATTGGATTTTTTTTATCGTTATTTTTTTATCGTTACATCGCTTCGACTCGGTTAAGGTACACTGCGATGATGATCAAGATTTTAAATGGTTAGATCGCACCATTCTACCCGGCCGGGATTTGAACTCGAAACCTTTCGCATGTGAGGCAATGAACTTACCCAGTGCGCCAAGCCACCGGGCAATTTATTGGATTCTATTCCCATTGTTGTATACAAATTGTGGGAACAGTTTCTCATTTTCAAATGAAGAGATATTTATGTTAAATAATATCAGCATAATATAATAAATCCTCTCTGGAAAATGGAAGAAAACGATTTTTTATTTTTCTAAAAAAATTCAAAACTGATTTTTTATTTTTCGAAAAAAATCAATATGTTCCCTCTCTATGATCTAATTTCAATGGGAGAAAGTGAAAAAAAAGATCAGAGATACGTGATCAGCAAGAAAATAAAAATTTCGATTTTTCCATGTTTCCGGAAAGTTTTGAAATTGATATATATGTATATATATATTTTTTTTTTTCAAATAATGAAAGAATACCCATCAATTCAATTTCTACCCTCACATTTTGACAGAATACATAAAAAAATAACAAAGAATAAAAATCCGAGACGAAAATTTTTATCGGATTAATATAATGTAATAATGAAATAAACACTGAATTATGCACGATAGAAGGAAATAGTGTGCAAAATAACCATTCAGAAGCATATTGCTAATTTATTAACAAAAATAACTATACTATATGCAATACAAGAGCAATTTCCCACTCATTTAGCTAAAAAAAATTGTGCGTCATACAAGACCGTCATTTTTTGGTGACACGACGGTCACTTTGCATCCCCAATTGCACCCTCGAAAAGTTTCTAAATGCTCTTGTCCTCAGCTTCTCACAAAAATCACATTACTTGACCCCAAAAATGTTCATCTGTTCACAGAGTATCCCAGCCATCGATTCAGTTCTCCTACAAAGCCCAGGTGGACGATGGAATGGAAGAGGACACAGTGTCCCTCCCCCACCAGCAGAGTTTCTCATCATTGAAAACCGACAGCGACTACATATATCAGGTCCATACTCCGTCTATTCACATGCCCTTATACGAGTCGCTCACAGCAAAACCGCCCGCCTTGAAGCAGCGAACCTCCCTGTACTCCCTATCATCCAGGAGGGATCCCAAGACCCCTGGTACAAGTCGCTATAGTTCCCAAGCAACTCTGTACGCCTTGTCGCCAGAGGCTAGAAAATTACGTCAGCGTAGTTCACAAACTAGTGTAACAGATCTTGTTGATCAGCGTACTAATCTTGTACTATCACCCAGTACAGCTAGTAATTTTATGTACACACCAAAGGATAACGATAGTAGGGCCAATTTATTCACTCAATCGGGCAAATCGAGTCTTGAGAATACACTGAGTACATTGTCAACTGATGCCGTTGACGAGTCGAGTCGTAAAAATTCCATCAGAATGACAGAGCAATCGAAATTGGTGACCAAAAGCCCTTCCACGAGTGTCTTGCCCCCTCTTGAGAGTAGTCTTCAGAACATACTCGACAGTGATAATGACGGTTGCTCGAGGGCAATGTTGCGGAGGAATTTGGCATCCGGTCATTCAGTTAAATCACTAGATCTGGAAATTGGCAGGGAGACACGTGATATCGCTAGTACATCGACTTGTGATTACTCTAAACGCGAATGGGTGGGGGGTAGAGATAGGCATGGGGGAGGGGAATCCGGTGGCCTTGGGGATTACTTGCAGTCCATTCAATCACCTGTTTACCAAAGTCCAATGACACGGAAGGATAAGGAAGATTCACATTCACCTTTGGATCGAGGAGACAATTGAGGGTCGATTTGTCTTGAAGTAAATTACAGGACTTGTTATAGCGATTTGTTAATATGTAGCTCGTATTTTAGGGTAAAGGGGTGCAATGGGGAACAACGTCCATTACACTTCAATTCATTTTTCTTTAGTATCTCCCAAATTGCGGGAGGAAAATCAGTAGTGAAGGGGTAAAACGGCTGAGTTTTTTAAGAATATCTCCGAATCTAAGGGAGATATCGAAATTTTCGTAATTACCTTTTTTGCAGAACGAATTGAGGGCTACAAAAAATGTTTTAATGAAAATTTTGCTATCTCCCTTAGATTCCGAGATATTCACTGAAACTTGGTCGATAGTCAAAATCGACTTGAAGCGTTTTGCCGCTTCGCTACTAATGTGCAACGAAAACTCATCTTGAAGTTGAGTTGACTGGTTTTATTTTACCCATTGATGTTGAATGTTGTGTAAATTACAGAGCTCAGTGAACTTAAATGATGATTTCACTGGTGAAATTCAAAAACGTTCAAGTCAACTTAGCTCTCACCTGAGTTTTCGGGGAATATCTCCGAATCTAAGGGAGACGGCAAAATTTTTGTAATAACCTTTTTTGGAGAGCGAATTGAGTGCTACAGAAAAGATTTTGTCGAAAATTCCGCTATCTCCCTTAGATCACGAGATATTCATTGAAAACTGGCAGTCAAAATCGAATTGAACCGTTTTACTTGATCTCGAAATTGAAAATTTTGAATGGTAATAAAATAAGGTAGATATTCTGAGCAACAGCTTCAAATACATAGTTGAACATTGATTTTCAAGTTACGTAATTTACTTCTGGATGTGTTGATGTCATGGGAATTTTGACGAATTAATTTCCAAAATGTTGGACGACAAAAATTTCGTTTTCTCTTTTTAACGTTTATTATATAACGTGTATTACATGCCCCCATTTATCTCATTGATATTACATTAGACTCGCTAAATTGGAATTGTAACCAAAACGAAGAAATCCTCTCCCAGCAGAAGAAGAAACGAAATTATCTTGGAATGATCCACGAAATACCCATGACATCTCTACAATTTATCAAAGGACCGTTGTCGCACAACACTCACTTCTGTAAATATTTTGTGATAATAATAGTGAGTAGAGATAAGGGGGTATGGCATCTTATGTACATATAATTAATATCACTGAGGATTTTTTCATTAATTAATCACTGAGTGCAAACGCCCAACGTTTGCTTAAAATTTATCTCAGAATAGGGTAAATTCAATTGCGCATTATAATTTCTATCCTCAGCAATTACCTATGAATATATCGAATATATGCGCAATACGGAGTATCTTGAAAGAGCTTTAATTCCTCATAAAGTGTAAATAATTAGCATGCCTAGTGGCTTTTATTAAATGTATTTGAGTAGTCAAAAAAAATGCACATGGTTTTTTATTTATTTATCGAATACAATACTGAGGTGGGGCATTGTACTTGCGCTAATTATAAATCAAACGCGTTTATTTGTTCATTGGAATTGTTATGTACCATTTGTGAGATCGAACGGCTGCCTCAGTCTCATTCTCGTCCATTTTCCAGTCTTCATCTCTCTATTTTCTCTTGCGCCTCTGTAATCCCCTGTGTGTGGACAACGTCCATCTGGAAGTGCCAGCATACACACCGAAGCAAAAATAACCCACCATCACGTTTGGCTTTTCCTCGTAGTCTGTTGAATTTGAGTTGTTGCGTATGGTTGGATGTGCCACATACATCGTTTGCACATGTGTTTTTGCACTCGACATGGACCTCGGCTTCGCGTATTTATTTTATTTGAGAATTGTTTTCTCTCTTTTTGTTTTTTCAATTTCAATCTGTGTGTAAAAATGTTTATGAATGCGCGTGATCATTGCTATAGTGTTTTAATTTGCATGTGGAGCACAGATATGAGATGATGGTTTTCACTGAAAACAATTCAGTTGTGGAGGGGTAAAGTGGGATAGGTCAATTTCAATTGAAGAGGATTTTTTGTGACGAAGCATTTTTTAATTTAGTTGTGATGGACGAAAATATGGTTTCGAAAAAAATGACTCTTCCTGTTTTGGCTGATGTCAAGGTGATGTTTTTTATGAATATCTTTCAATCATAGGGCAGAAAATTCGCGGCGATATTTGTGGGGATATCTTCTACAGATTTTGAGATATTTTCGAAAGACTGCACTGCGAGAAAAACGGCGGAGTTCAAACAAGTCTTACTTGTGCCAAAAAAAAAATCGTTTGTAAAAACTCATCAAAAAAGGATTTTTTGGGCCAAACGTGTAAAGCATGCGCCGAGATTAGAAATAATTATTACAAAAATAGAGTTAGTCTTTTCAAAAAAAATTTATTCTCTGTGCAAGTAAACAATGTAATTTCTAGTCCTAGTTCTTCGTTATTCGATGGCTCCACACGTACTTTGCTCCCGGTAAATGCTCGTTTTATATGAAACGAAGGGTAGTAGTTTGTCGTTTCAGCATTCAATCATCACAGACCAAAAAATCATTTTTAAAGAAAATAATAATAATGATATAACTGCAATCTCATAACTTAGGGATAAAATATTTCTTGATAAACTTCCTTCTATAAAAGATTTTTTTATCACGAAAAGTGAAATATTTCGGTGTTGTTGAAAGCAGGGCAATTAATCGCGTTTGAGACTTTTAAATTCGAACCAAACAATTATTTTTTTGGTAATTTTCAACCAACGATTTTGTTGGCCCGAACAAGACTTGTTTGACGTGTTTGTTTTTCTCTCAGTGTAGGCCGGGATAGGCGGACGCGTAGTGTCCGCGCAGGGCTGTCTGACAGCCAAAATGACGAAAAAATAATTTTACTATTGCTCAAATTTCAAAACATTTCGGAAAAACTTATCAACTGGCATTGGCTCGACCTCGTCTGCCCCTCCACTCCTGAATTCCATGTCTATTTCAACATAAAAACACTGATATATTATGCCATGACGATGAAGACTCAATGGCTTCTTACAAAACCAAATAAGACCAGGAATTGATTTTTAGATCATCATTGAGGAATCCAAAAGCGGAACTGTTTCTTTGTTTTCCAGAACCACAGTGTCTATGACTCAACACAATTCGACACCCATGCAACACCGGTCAACCCGCTTTACGCGGCTTCACTCCAGAGTCCAGATAGCATTACTGGTTACAGTATAGACAGTCAAGAGGCACACCACACCAATGGTTATCAGCAATGAACGATGTTCATTCAATTCCATCCGGAAAAACGATTATTACAATAAAATGCGAGAGAACTCAAATCGAAAAGACATTAATCGGGTAGTGACTCATTTTCTTGTGGTTTGTGAAGGTTTTTTTGGGTTATTCAAAGTCGTTAGTGTTTACGATTTGATCAAAATACTCTAGTCATTTTTACCGCTTTCCATGTCTCAAAAAGTTTGTATTCATAGTTTTAATGGAAACTACTCTGTAGCGAAGTGATACAACAAGATAATGCAGCTAAATTTCACGTTGGATTTTTTTTCTTTTGATTATTCTTCCTCGGAGAATTCGGAGAGAAGCGGAAACTTCAGGGGCTTATTTCGGATATGTTTCCGATATTTCCCACTGTCATGGGTAACCAACCAAACAACTGCAGATAATTCTTTTGGTTGCAATTCTGAGGGAAAAAATAATTAGTAGTAATACCCCAAGAGCTTCAAAATTATCGGGTATTTCCTGACAGCTTCGTTGTAAACAAATGAGGGTGTCAAGTTTTGCAGATTAAAAAATCCCGAGCGCTTGCGCGAGAGATTGTTCAGCAAAACTTTGCTTTTTTTCTGTATTTTTTTACACAAATCGTGAATTTTTTTATATGAAAAAAACCGAAATCAGCTGTGTAGGAGTTGAATTCCAAAAAACTGGTTCGTAATTGTTGTTCCACACATTTTTCCGAAAATTTTGAAAAAAAAAATTTTTGTAGCTCCAAAATTGGAGGCCCTGGACTGTTTTTAGCATTTTAAACGTTGTCGGGCAAACGAACAATAAAAAAAATTTTTTTTTGCACTAATTATTCGTTTTTAGATCTATTTAATCGATCTTCAACGTATGAAAAGTCTCACTCCAATAACCCACGACTTTTAAAACTCATAGTAGTCTCCTCTTAATAGGTGAAGCACAGAAGGGATTGTTCGAACCTGTTTAATTCGAATAGAATACAACTTTAGACCCCTTCCTGGTTCATTCAGGTAGATTTGACGACTAGATTCAAATCTCAATCAAAATCCAGGATTCACGCAATCTCCAACTGCTTCAATTATGATTTCTTAGATGAAAGTGAATTTGACTCATCTCATTGTATCACTTCACTACAGAGTTCATCTTAGATACGGGAAACAGTCAGGGAGGCTGTGAAATGTAACGGGAGTCAATCCAAATATGTAGATCTTGCGTTCTAGATATGGGAATAGTGATCTATTAATAATTTTGTACTTAGGGACAAGAAAATGATAAGGACAATTTCAATGGCGAATGCCCCAGATTGAACGGATTGTGGGGATTTTTGAAAATTGTTGAATGCAATTTGATAATTGAATTGGCGAGGTTTAGGGTGAGGACGCTGCCACCACGTCGTTCTCGATTTATAATTTTCCGTCCTTCCCAAACGTATACGATTTCCTGTGGAACATTCGAATCGCCATGCAGAATGCGTTTGGAGGAAAAAGGTACAGATTATAGCCTCTGGTTACCATCTGTACCTCTATCCCTCGCTATTTTCTTACTTTTGCATCGGAACTTGGCTTAGGAAATTGAAAGGGGAAATTTAAGTGTTAAGTTCATAAGTGAAACTCGTGATAAATAAGCTTAGTTTCAGTGGCGAAGTGGTGGAACGTGTTGGGTGTAAACATGAATTATTGACCTTTTCCGACAACTTCCGTTTTCTTTCGCCCTTTGAATTTATGAAAATACACTGAGCCCCGGTTGTACCAAGCCCAGTTAAGAAAATTGTCACTTAAGTATCGGAATAAATAAAAATAAGCTGCCGATCGATTTTGATCAAAAGTTCATTAGAAGTATTTCACACGGAGAAAACAGTTGGAGAAAAAGTACCAAAACGTGCGAGATTAATAATCAATTTTAATCTGTTGGCGCGGGAAAATTTATTAAACGTGCGGGTGATTTGTACAGAAACTGGAAAATTTACTCTGCATGCAGAGTAAATTTTCCAGTTTCTGCACATCAAAGATTGTCCCACACGAAGAGA